CTCCCCGCCCCAGAAAAACGCGACGGTCGCGAGCACCCGAAGAATCGGATGCCACGCGGGTAGTCGAGGCTCCCACTCCCAGCACTGCACGCCCGAGAAAATCACGACGATCACAAGCGCCAGAGGAATCGGATGCATCTCAGGTCAGTGATGCGAACGAAGAAGGTGTCAGTATGGCCAGTGTAGATGAAGAAGAAGAGCCCGAGTCGCCTTCGCGCAATGCCTTGAAAAGAAAGAGTATTTCTCACCCCCCTAAAAATTGTGGCTCGTTTACATTCAATGCGCAAAATTACTTACTTCCAGCTCCAGAGCCTTCGATGTCGCCGCAATCACAACCGCGATCGCAGACAGACAGCGTACCCCCGCTTCCCGATACCGCCGAGCCCGCCGTGAGCCAAACGCCGTCGAAGGCCGAAGAAGAGCAAAAGTCGCAAATCCAGATGATTAACCCTAATGCGACCGTTCTCGAGAAACCGATGGATATCGTGATGAAGTCTCGCAACCTTGCCCAACCAGTGGTGGAGGAGCCCTCAGAACCCAAATCACGGCTTATCATTACAACGCTTGTTTTAACAAACTTTAAGAGTTATGCAGGAAAACAGATTGTCGGGCCCTTCCATGCATCTTTTTCCTCTGTCGTCGGCCCGAACGGATCCGGAAAATCTAACGTGATCGATTCGTTGTTGTTTGTATTCGGATTTCGTGCCAGCAAGATGCGCCAGGGCAAAGTATCCGCTTTGATTCATAACTCCGCTGAATACCCCAATCTCCCTCATTGTGAGGTTGAGGTCCATTTCAAGGAGGTCATAGATTTACCCGCCGGAGGACAGGAAGAAGTACCAGATTCCCAACTGATCGTCTCTCGAAGAGCCTTTAAAAACAATACTAGTAAATACTACATGAACGGCAAGGAAACCAACTTCACCGCGGTAGGAACTCTCCTACGTGATCGTGGCATCGATTTAGATCACAAGCGTTTCTTGATCCTACAGGGAGAAGTCGAATCGATCTCCCAGATGAAATCGAAGGCAGCAAATGAACACGAAGATGGCCTTTTGGAGTACCTTGAAGATATCATTGGAACCTCCAAGTATAAGACTCCCATCGACGAAGCTGCCACCGAGCTTGAGACCTTGAACGATGTCTGTATGGAGAAGAACGGCCGTGTTCAGCACGTGGAGAAAGAGAAGGCGGCTCTCGTGGACAAGAAAGACAAAGCTCTTTCTTACATCCGCGATGAAAACGAACTATCTCAGAAGCAATCCACGCTTTACCAAATATACATCGAAGAGTGCGCAGACAACATCCGAGTCACTGAGGAAGCGATCCTACAGATGCAAGAATTGCTCAACCTCGAACTGGAGAAGCACGAAGGCAACGAATCTGGAATCAAAGAAATGGAGAAAGCCTACAAGCGTGGTATGCGGGAATATGAGAGCATGGAGAAGGAAGCCCAAGGATTGATGAAAGAGATGGCCAAGTACGATAAAGAATCCGTGAAGTTCGAAGAGAAGAAGAAATTCCTGGTCGGAAAGCAGAAAAAGTTGGAAAAATCTATGCAATCCACCCGCCTTGCGGCCTCCGAGTGTGAGAGCTTGGTGGAGAAGCACACTTACGACATCGAGAAAAAGACTGCCGAGACTACACAGCTTGAAAAGGAGATGAAGGTGGAAGAAGAAGAGCTCTCCACGATTCGCGAGGGGTTGAAAGGTAAGACCCAGGGTCTTTCCGACAAAATCACCGCGAAGCAAAAGTCTCTTGAGCCTTGGGATGCAAAGATCAACAAAAAGCAATCTGCTGTTGCCGTGGCTCAGAGTGAGCTTGACATTCTCCGTGAAAGAAGCAATGCTGGTGCCGTACTGCTGGAAGAAGCCCAGTCGAAGGTTGCCTCAATTGAGGAAACCCTATCCACCAAGGAAACCGATATGGAGGAGCGCAAGGCCCAGAAGGAGACTTTGGAGCAGGAAGTGGCAAAACTTCGAGGTGACCTCAAGAAGTACTCCCACCGAGAGCCAGAGATCCGTTCTCATGTCTCCAGCGCTCGCCAAAAGGCAGACGAGGCACGGGCTAGTTTGGCCAGCACTCAAAACCAGGGAAGTGTGTTATCTGGTCTAATGCGCCTCAAGGAGTCAGGTCGTATCGACGGTTTCCATGGTAGACTTGGAAACCTTGGCGCCATTGACGAAAAATACGATGTTGCGATTTCCACGGCTTGTCCTGCCTTGAACAACATGGTAGTTGAAACTGTTGAAGTTGGTCAGCAGTGTATTGACTACCTGCGAAAGAACAACCTGGGTAGAGCCAATTTCATTCTGCTGGACCGTCTGCCCCGAAGAGATATGTCAACGATCTTCACTCCGGAGAGCGTTCCTCGTCTTTTTGATCTTGTAAAACCCAAAGATCCAAAGTTCGCACCTGCGTTCTACAGTGTCATGCAAAACACGTTGGTAGCCAAAGACTTGGAGCAGGCCAACCGCATTGCCTATGGCGCTAGACGCTGGAGAGTGGTGACCCTCGATGGTCAACTCATCGATGTGTCCGGAACCATGAGTGGTGGTGGTACCCGTGTAGCAAGAGGTGGAATGTCCTCGAAACAGGTAGCCGACACAAGCCGGGAGAAGGTATCACAACTCGAAGGCGATCTTGACGAGATGGAGCGCAAGTTCCAGGCATTCCAAGAGAAGCAAAGACACGTTGAAACCTTGATCAGAGAAAAGTCGGAGGAAATTCCCCGAGTCGAAACCAAGATTCAAAAGATCATGATCGAAATTGAGAGTGCCAACCGCAGTCTTGCAGATGCTCAGCGACGAGTAAAAGAATTAGGCGCTCAGCACAAGCCCTCCAAGACCGATGCAGGCCAGGCTACGGCTCTCGAAGAACAGATTGCTTCTCTTGAGGAACAGATCGAAGAACTTCGCGCCGACAAGGGTGGAATTGAAGAGGAAATTCAGACCCTCCAGAACAAGATCATGGAAGTCGGTGGTGTCAAGCTAAGAAGCCAGAAGGCCAAGGTTGATGGGCTCAAGGAGCAGATTAGCCTGCTTGCTGATGAAATTTCTAACGCGGAAGTTGAGAAGTCTAAGAATGAAAAGCTCATCAGCAAGCACCAGAAGGCTCGCGCCGATTCGGAGAAGGAACTTGGACATGTTTCTGAGGAACTCGAGAAACTGGAAGAAGCTGTTGAGAACCAAACCAACGACGCGTCTGACTGGAGGCAGAAGGTAGAAGAAGCCCAAGAGGTAAGTATCTTGTCATGGAAATCAACATTTGATCGTCAAACTCATGATTGTTCCAGGCCGTCGAGACAAAGAAGGCCGAGTTGAAGGCCCTCAAGGGTGAATTGGATGAAAAGGTAGCCGAGTTGAATGAAACCAGGGCCACGGAAATTGAGATGCGCAACAAGCTCGAAGAGAACCAGAAAGCTCTGTCAGAAAATGAGAAACGGGGCCGATACTGGGCCGAGAAGCTGTCGGCTATGAAATTACACAATGTTAGCGACCTCGGTGATGAGCAAGAAGCGGTCGAGCTCCAAATGTACACCAAAGATGAGTTGGAAGAGATGAACAAGGAGTCCTTGAAAGCAGTGATTGCTGCACTAGAAGAGAAGACGCAAAACTCCTCGGTGGATCTTTCAGTCATTGAAGAGTACCGACGTCGGACGGCTGAGCATGAGGCGCGTTCTGCTGACCTTGCTACGGCTCTGGAGTCTCGCGACAGTGCCAAGGCTCGTCTTGATGGCCTTCGATCAGCTCGACTGAACGGATTCATGGAAGGATTTAGTACCATCTCGCTTCGTCTGAAGGAGATGTACCAAATGATCACCATGGGTGGAAATGCCGAGTTGGAATTGGTCGACTCTCTTGATCCCTTCTCTGAGGGCATTCTGTTCTCCGTTATGCCCCCCAAGAAGAGCTGGAAGAACATCAGCAACTTGTCTGGTGGAGAGAAGACGCTCTCCAGTTTGGCACTTGTCTTCGCCTTGCACCATTACAAGCCCACTCCTCTATATGTCATGGACGAAATCGATGCTGCTCTCGACTTTAGAAACGTGAGTTCTCACCCGATCAGTTTCCACCTGGATAATGTCTAATATTCGAATCTTAGGTCTCCATTGTGGCTTCGTACATCAAGGAAAGAACCAAGAACGCACAGTTTATTGTTATTTCTTTGAGAAACAACATGGTAAGATATAGATGCTACTTTTATCTATGATAGGCTGCTAATGTCGGTTAGTTTGAACTTGCCTCGCGGCTTGTTGGCGTCTACAAGGTCAACCATATGACCAAGAGCGTTACGATTGAGAACCGAGACTATATTACCGGTCGATAATGATGTGGAACTGAACATATGCGTGATGTTTTTACTTTGCATGACATTCAGATACGAGTTATTTGTATGACAGGGATCGGTGGGGGTGCTTTTGTGGTTCAAGGACTGGCATTCGTCCTTTTCTATCTCTTCTGGTGATTTATTTTTTGATTACAAGCAGGATCTGGTGATATTGCGCTGGTCTGGGTGTTTCGTGATTACTTTGATTCGGTGAATCCTGATCTATATATCTTTCTTTGTCTGTTTTAATGAAGTAAATATTTCTTCCATTGCACCCGGTGTCTTCGATTGATCGTGTAGATCGAACTATAAGTCTGCATTCTGAAGATAAGCGCGAGGTTCAGTTTCTGCCTAAGGCAGCGGCGCTTCTCTTCCATAGCAAGAACATCATCTTTTTCACCACCAACCCCATCTGCTTTTCTCTCCATCACGACCTTTTGAACTTCTCTATTGACCAGTATCTAGCAGAATGAATTTAATTCCTTTACACATGTCCACCCACCCACTACACTCGAGTGTAACGCGGACAATCTTCCCCAAAGATCACGCCATTCCACCAACCCACGAACTGCTACCAAGACAATCTTATCAACCACACTCAAATGAGGGGTATGTCTTACCTTACTGGGCTGGTTGTCTCAGTACGTCTTGAGCAGAACGAATTGCGCCATCGAAGATGTAACTACGCTGGGGGAGGGAGTTCTTTATAAAAGCCCATGATCAGGAGCAAGTTTTTTCGTCAAGTTTATCGAATACATAACGACCTGCTTACACTTAAAGAGAGGGATACGCTTCCTGGCGGGGTACTGATGATATGTGGGAATGTGGTATATATATTCAAGACTGTCGAAATGGAACGCTTACAACTTTGAGAGCTGTGCTAGGAGTTGCTAAGATCCTCGCCAGGAAGAATATATTCACTGACGAGTCTTTCGAGTATGCCTCCTCGTGACCACAGTCAGTCTGGGAGAGCTAAGAGAAATCAATCTTCCTTTGAAGGGCTTTTCTGCAAATACGTCAAGCAACTGTCAAGGATTGATTGATCCCGTTGATGGCTCGAATCGGTAAGCCAAATTTAAGGCAGATTCTTTGAGTATGGTAGTATTGCTACAGAGATCCTCTATCTAACACTATACCCTGATTTCTAGATCCGACATGACAGTAATCGAAACGGAACACCGGGATCACCACTGCAAGCTGATTGAAGCTGCTACGTACATCATCCGTCTGAAAAAAGGCTTGAGCAGCAAAAATGTCATCATATGAGATGACCGATTTGACCTGGAAAATGACTATGTACCATCATGACCTGACAATGAAGACGTCAGGATAGCACACATGCGACATGCGACATGCGATCTCAAGGGCTTTGGCCTGTGCTATGAGAAAACTCAATAGGTGACAGTGTCATGCCCAAGTCACCATTGCGTGTGAAAACCAATGCAACCTTACTTTCATCTTCGATGCTACGGATGGTCAAAGAAATTGAGTCATCAATGGCATGGATGAGAGTGGTGCTTTTGCTCGTGACAGCCACTGTTCCAAGTACAGCCATACCATGTCACATCCATTGCGATTATGGCTGATCAGCTAGTGTGGTATATTCCGTATCTCGCAGATCCAAAGCGACAGATGCTACCATGAAGTCGATCATAGTCACGCGGGAACGGAAGTTGTATAGCTATGCTATCTCGAAAAACAAGAAAGCTAATACTGGATGGCAGAGGATGCTTTACCAACCATTACTTGGTTGAGAGACCCATCTCCGACTGCCGTTCCTCAAATCAGGCATTACCCGGTGGGTAAGAGGTGTTGTTGATCCACATGATTGGCGCAACATACTTGAAGCTTCAGCAAGGAATGCGAATAGTAGGGAAGCAAATTCTGTTATGTGACTCTAACTGACAAGAGCAATTACCGGAATGCTCCTTAGCTCGAGATGTCAAGGGATAATCGTGGATCTATGGGAAAATAGAGGACTAGCAAGGGGGCAATCGCGATACATTGTCTTGATCCTGATGGAGATGAGCTCTAGATTTCTCTCCAATACTCCACTTTTCCTGCCAGGAACGAGCCCACATGGGCTGAAAACAGGATGCAAACGTGGTAGACAGGAGATGAGAGAATCCGAATGGCCATTCCCCTTGCTTCGTTTCCAATACCAACCTCCTAACGCCGATCGCGCCCCGTTTTTACTGCAAGCAGTGATCCTAACAGTAGTGACTGGGGACCAATGAGAAAAAGTCTGATTCACTGATTTCAGGTGTTGGGTAGGATTACCAGAGCAAGGAATGCAAAATTCGCCGCCACTGATGTAGGTGCCGGGCAGCCACAGAACACGAGACAGTGCGATGTCACTCTATCCTGATCAAAGTACCTCAAGAAAAGCTTTTGTGAAGGTGGTAAGCATGTTAAAGTTGGCCATGGAATGCATATTACCGAATAATGCAACCGCTCGAGATCCGGATGCGGTCTCAGATGCAACAAGGAGCACCGATCCAGGCACTCATGCCAGCCAGAAAGGAGTCACAACAGAGATGGCTGGTTGTTGCTCTCCAGCGGAAGGGGCTTTTTGACTCACTTTAATTTCCCGAGGATCAGAGTTAAATAGGACGTCAATTTCCACCCAATTCGTTCTTCATCCACAAGCATCTTTCTCATCTATTCACTACTCTTCCAATCTTCTCTCTACAAACCAATCTTTCTTCGTCTTTAAGACTACCACAACCAACCACCATCAAAATGCAGTTCACTTCCACCCTCGCTGTTCTCGCCACTTTGGCCACCTCTGCTCTCGCTGTCCCCCCTGTCGCTGGTGGTGAGGGTGTCGGTAACGGTGTTGAGAACAAGGGCAACGGCGATGTCCGCTTCCACGTCCCCGACTCCGTGACCGTCAAGGAAGGTCAGGACAAGTGCGGTGACCAGGCTCAGCTCTCGTGCTGCAACAAGGCCACCTACGCCGGTGACACCACCACCATTGACAAGGGTCTCCTCGCTGGTGCTCTCAGCAACCTCGTCGGCACCGGCTCTGGTGCCGAGGGTCTCGGTCTCTTCGACCAGTGCTCCAAGCTTCCTTTGCAGGGTATGCGCTTTTCCCTAGTCTTGCTAGTATTTATTCTAACAAATTACAGTTCCCATCCTTGCTATCGGCCTCAACGATGTGCTCAACCAGCAGTGCAAGCAGAACATTGCTTGCTGCCAGGACAGCGGTGCCAGCGCGGTTAGTATTCTTCATATACTTTGCTCTATATCCACTAACGATTTATCTAGGACGGAGACGTTATCGGAGCTGCTCTCCCTTGTGTTGCGCTCGGCTCCATCCTCTAAGCGGTTTTGGGACTGGTGTGCCTCTATATATTATGTCATTAATTCTATCTAGACTATCTAATAATGTGTACTCGGTCTAGAAGAGGCCAGTTGGATTAATTTAATCAAAAAAGAGTTTGGCTTTTTTGTTGCTGTTTGAAACATACATCCTGTAGGAATGCACAAATCTAAGCAGTAGTCATCCAACCATAATGATACCATACAGAAAGATCGGTTTAAATTGATTGATACTCATCCGCAAAGTATAAAACATATTGTTCCTCAACCCACTGGCAGGGCTTCCCCTTCTACAGCCTCCAGGTTAGGTAGCATTTGTAGTATAAATCTTGTTTGTAAACCCAACATAATACATATTTGACTTTTGTATATTTGCTTTATCTTTCTATAATCTTTTCAGGGCGTATATAATCCTGCATTGTCTTCTCTCAAAAAGTGACTGATTCATGCTTGATATTCATGCTTGATCACTATGCGGTTGAGTAGTACTTAGTATATGTACCTGCGTACTACGGATATATATCAACACCAATTCCAATTCCAATTCCAATTTCTATCCAAACAAACTCATTAAAGAAAACTGTACCCCATTCAATCATTTTTTTTACTTATTTAACATGAGGTACACATTGTTACTCATCAGTAGTCCCTTGTTAAGTTCGTCAACGCCCATATAGATCTTTGGTACTCACGTGACATATTGTCGCCCTCCAACACACGTCGGAAAAAACTCCATCTCATCTTCTTGCAAAGTCAACGCAAATGGCCTTGTCGCATGGAGCATCGCACACCAAGACCAAAGGTGCTCCGGACTATGACGATCCCGAGTTCTGGGACGTCAAGTTCGCGACTGGCCAGGATGTCGGCGAATGGTTGAACCCGGGCGAGGTGCTCCTTGAAGCGGTTCTATCTGACCTCGAGCGCCGACATTCGACCTCCCTTGCAGCCGGTGCGAGACCGCGAGTGCTGCACTTGGGACCTGGTGTCTCGAAGCTGGGTACGAAATTGTGTGAGATGTTTGTTGAGCGGGGATGGGTGGGTAATGGGATTGTCGTGAGTGACCTTGTTTCCCCCATGAATGAGTATATCTAATCGTGCTCTTTTCAGAATGTGGACTTTTCCGCCGAAGCCGTTCGTCTTGGCCAGGAATACGAGAGCAAAAAAGAGGTAAACGATGCCATGATGCACTGGCAGCAAGCAGACCTACGCTCCTGGACAGACATGTCCAGCCTTTCCCCCTCTGCGCCGTTCGACGTGATCCTGGATAAAAGCACCAGCGATGCCATTTCCACATCCCCGGATCAAACCTACTCCCCATCATCCGATGTGTCTACTACCTGTCCGATCGTCAATGAAATAGTCACGAGCCAAAACAGAGAGATTGCATTTTCCCCGGTTGAACTGTTGGGCTTGCATCTCGTGCCATTGACACAAAAGGGATCTACGTGGATTGTTCTATCCTATTCGACGATGCGCTTTGACAATATCCCTCATGTTTCTGTGTATTGGGATGTTGTCTCGCGGACGCCTATGGAAGCGCCGGCGGGTAACGTTTCTTCTGCGGCGCATGCTCCCAAGGTCTTTCACTGGGTTTACATTCTGCAACGAAAGTGACCATCCACCTGGGAAAATTATATTATACAACATGCAGGCATGCGATGAGAAGAATGCAGATGGGCAGTATATCGACATAAGCAAACCCTTGAATATTACAGCATAATAAAAACAGAGAAGTATCCCCTGAGAGCAGGTAAGTGGATTGCGATTCCTGGCTCTAAGGTCTGACACAGACTATATACTATACAACACAATAAAATACGTGGACACGGAACAATAAACAATCAAATGGTATCAAAAACATCAAACAACATTTCCATCTGCAAATCCAAGCGAAATCCCAACCGTTCGAATGCGTCTTTCATTCATAAGGATCCGAATCTGACCAGCAGATAGCGACATGCATCACACTACCTGGGGCCGTGGTGATGGTGACGGTGATGTAACAGATTGCTCAAAAGACCATGATGCTCTTTGCGAGGGGGTTCCTACTGATTTGATAAAGTGGTTAGCCATTGTATACACCACTGAGGGATGGATTCAACTTACAGGACCGTGGTGAGGAAATCCACCGTGAGGGCCTCCTGGACCCCCGAAACCTCCAGGCCCGCCTTGGGGAGGGCCACCAAAGCCCCCAGGACCACCGGGACCGCCAGGGCCACCGTGAGGGCCAGGACCTCCGTGGGGACCACCAAATCCGGGGCCTTCAGGGCCGCCATGATGACCGGGACCAAAGCCACCTGGGCCACCAGGACCCCCTGGCCCTCCATGGGGACCACCGCCGAAACCACCTGGTCCGCCTGGTCCGCCGTGAGGACCGCCAAATCCTCCAGGGCCACCAGGACCACCAGGACCGCCGTGATGACCACCAAAACCTCCAGGACCACCAGGACCTCCGGGGCCACCACCATGATGACCACCACCGAAGCCACCGGGACCACCAGGACCACCACCGTGAGGACCGCCAAAGGGAGGCATATTGATTGATCGAGTAGAGTAGTAGAGTAGATAAAGGAAGAGTAGAGTAGAGTGGATGAGGATATATCAAATAGATAGTAGATAGATAGATAATAGATAATCAAGTGTAAGAATCAAATCTGATAATCTTCAAAAACAGGGAACTTCGTCCCATTAAATAGCCACCACTCCAATGCTGTCGCAATTCACCATCTATTAATAAAGTACCTTCTAGAAAGCCAACCAGGCAATAACATCAACAATAGCAGCCATATATTAATAGTGCGTCGTCGTCAGTCTTGGTATTCGGGATTGTATACGCAATCGGGCCCCACTTGTTGTGGCGTTTAGAGTTGAAGATGAAGATGAAGATTTCATGATCATTTGAATTGTATTGTTTACTATTCTGATGATATTTTATAAGACAATAGTCGATTAGAGTAAATGTAGTATAATTTAAATGAACCAATTCATACACATTGAAAAATATCAGTAGAGTAACTGTCAATCAAATAGTTACAGTAGATGGATAACGGTCAGCCCTAAGCCGGGGCAGCCTTAAAGATGGAGTTTTAGTGGAGACGGAGGATGAGTCTATCAGTCTATCCAACACGGACATACGTATGCTCATCTATGCTCAGCCACACAAAGCGCCGAAATACTCCCGAGGTTGGCAGTTTATTTTTGTGGATGGTGTCTGTGTCGAGTGGCTGATGATGGCACCGGATAAGTTCCGGATTGTCAGATGAAGTATTGAGGCTAGTAGGTCAGCAATTCCGATGGCATTTACTGGCATAGTTAGTTACATAGTATGTATTGCGGGATGGACGGCAGAGACAGCGAGAATTAGTGATATTTCGATGAAACTCAAGTCAACAATAGAGACTAATTAATTGTTAATATTATCCAAGCCATAAACAGCAGATAAAGTGATGACGGAAATGCAAGTAAACATGTGAAGACGAGTAATAACCCGCACCCAAAGCTTATCACACCACCATAACCTCCGATTGGAAGCATCTCGATGATAGTCTTGTTTTCGTGATAATCCTGGAGATCGCTTCTCTGTCGGGTTGATGGAGGGTAATTCTGACGTCAACGCGGGAAGAGATGAGGAGATTTCATGCGAGGGGTTGAAGAGGATATCCTATTCTCTGTTGATGTCTCATTCCGAGGGAAAAGAGGGTATATATAGACTATTATCTGTTTAATTTATTTCTTTGTTATCCTGTAGAACCAAAAATCAAAGATCTGACCCGGTTCCTGAATACCTTCAACTATGGTACGTCCACCACCACTACACCTAACCTTTCGACACAATCTAACATCACATCTTAGCCCGCTCTCCTCCCTCGCCAAACATCCCCTGACTGTCCAAGTTCAATAACCGGCGGCGGCATCGCGGGTATCGTCGTCGGCACGATCGCAGGCACGCTTCTCATTTTGTGGTTGTTGAGATTATGTGCGGATCCGCAGGTGCGAAGCGGTGATGTATCGGATTGGAAGACGAGGAGGAGTACATTTCGACGGAGGGAGAGGCCGGCGTATGGAGCGTTTTTGGAGAAGCCGAGGAGAGAGAGGAAGAGGGCGAGGGCGAGGGGGTATAGGGATGAGGTGAGAAGGCCGGCGAAGGTGTATTTGAGTTGATTTTATGATGATGATATTCGAGATTTCTGTTTGGACCTATAAGAGATGTGAGCGAAGAGTTCGTAATGATTAATGAGAAATGGCTATTTCATTCCGTGGCCAGACTGAAATGAAATGACAACAAGTAATGAGGGAGAAGCCCTTGCATCCCAACATCCTGGTGTTTATCAACCCAAAGAAGTCAATCTCCATTGTCAGGTCCTAGAGTCTCAGATTAAGTGAGAACCTGTGCCATTTCTTTCTGGTCTTTCGAAGTGAAACACGCGGATGTGCCTTGAGATTGAGGACCACGCCAACAATCGCCACCCGTTCTATCTTTTCGCAGCTAAATGGACCTTTTTTGGCCCAGATAGCTCCAGGAAATGCCTACCACGGTATGCTGTTTATCATTGATTGTATTGAATTGAATAAGGGAAATGAGGTGTGTCATATGAGAGACCTGCAGCTAAGAAGAGCGATTGTCGAACTTGATAGCAGCATAGATAGGAATTTCGAAAGATTGTTTTACTCTCGGTTCCTTGAGACCATGAGCCTCGTCGAATGCGAACATGATCAAGACTGCCACGGCTTCACCAGCATCCCCTAGATTGACGAATGCTTTTGATACATTTGATAGAGTGCCTGCCTGGCGCCTAGCAGCGTGGTATGAAATCCAAGTATTTCTCTGGCGAACAACGAAAGGATGGGCTCTAGGGACTGTAATGTATGTAGCAAGATGCGCTCTTTGTCAATGCCGACATATCGAAGATAATCGATTTTAGGTATGTAAATTCTTCGCTAGACTGTAGCGAATCCAAAAGTTCATTATGTACGAAACAAGGCCAGCCGGATAGTCTGCATTGACCTTGTCATTAGCAGTACGGAGTAAATCCCGGGGTAGAGTTGTTGCACTCAAAACTGTACAAGTGTCTGAGGGCATATTCTCGTTCTTGATAATCCCCGAGAGAGAATGATCTGAATGATAAGTTCCCTTCCTTTCCGCAATGTATCTAAAGTGCTTATGTGGAATACTGGTACTGTTTGTTCTTGTGAGGCTGCAGCGTCGTGGGTTAGAGGAAATTGCCGAACCTTTATAACTCAAGAAGACGTATCAAGCAAAACGCCAAAGAATCGAGTCCTAGTTGGCACTGACGATGGCTTCTTTTTGGAGTTTCAGTAAAATTGTCGCACAAGCCTGCCAAAATTTCTTGCCTCTGTCGTTGTTCTCATCCACGTTATGGGATCATTCTCGACTAGGTGGGTTTGTAATTGCTCAACGCGCTGTGCTATTCCAAGATGCGTTCCAGCGAGTTGTGAGATTCGGGATGAAATTCTGCAAGCGATGCTAGGTCATTGCATTTCCACATTGAGGCGATGAGGAGCGGATTCTACTCCGAGTTCTAGGAGTAACTCTGGATCATGACCTGTTTGTGAGTGTGGCAAGTTGGAGGTAGATCGTCCAAGAGCATATCTGATCACCCGGAGAGTATTGAAGTTAGTTATAAATAGAAATAGATGACTTGTCGAAAACTCTGAGATGGATGGAAGAGAGAAGAGGAGAGAGAGGAAGAAGTGGGAGATTATCGTCAGTCTCGCTGCCTCAGGCTTCACTGTGACCCGAATAGGCAATGGTCAGTACAGATAATGACTAGGCCAATTACCTTTGATATCATTTGAATTGTTTATATTGACTGACTACATTTTAACAAAGTACTGGTTGTAAGCAATGATCTAATATCCAACAGTATCCAGCATCCAAGGCATATCGAGTCAGGCATTGGCCGATGGTGGCAAATCATCCCTGATTCGGATATTTTGATTGCTCCTTATAACTTGAGTGACAGTGTGGGGTTACACAGACGAAGGGCCCCTTACATTAAGGCGTTTCGGCAAATAGATTAACTGTGTATACAGAGTACTCCATAGAAGTAGAAGAGATGGTGGATGAGTAGATGAAATATGGTTGAACATGAACATGTTCATGATATGCCATTATATTAATAGAATGTCTCTCCTGTTCAAGACATTGAGGCCAATTTCCAGGCAATTTCCACTTTTTGCAGTGGCGATCAGTAAATTGCAGAGGGGCTAAGGGTCCTTCCGGTGCGGAGTCCCTGGACGCTAGTTTCACTGCAGACTCTTGTACTCTGTACAACCAGACACTTACTATTACTCTGTACTGTCTCTATCTACTCTTCATCCTACTATGATTATACTCTGTCTACTCTACTCAGACTCTACTCATACTCTTACTCTGTATTATGTTATCTATCCTGTAATGATTATTATAGATAATATAATATAATATTAATAGCAGCCCAGTGGCTGCAGGCTTACCGCATGCAGACTAGCGTCAGGGACAGGGGTCGAGCTACGAGCCTATCTGGGCCAGTTGCCCAGATCCACTAACTAGATCTGGCCAAGCTGCCTTTGTGATTGGCCCATTTCTCCCCCTTACTTGGTGAGAAACCAGGAAAAAAAAAAAACACAAAAACCAAAAAAAGCGACCAAAAAAGAATGATTTGTGATGGTTCAGATTAATTAAGGATGCCCGTTTCCTTCTCCTCCTTCTCTTCCCCCTCTTTCTCCCTCTCCTCTTCATTCTTTCGCTTCGTTCTGCGTTTGTTTGCTCTTCTTGCTGGTGGTGGGCTGTCCTCGTGCGACCTTTGCGCACATCCACTCCTTCGTTTCTATTCATCTGGTCCCTCCTTTCATATTCGTTTATACGACTGTCTTTCCCTCGCCCAGCCACAGCAGAAGCAACGACTGTCCGACTTGTTCGCAGATTATACGGAATAATTGATCGATATATACGCTGTCCCCCGCTGATTCCTCCGAAGAAAGACCCTCCATTATGTCTCTCCTTTTCGTCTTCGGCCTCTTGATGGCCTGCATCAGCTCGGTGATGGCCCAGACCTTCACCGACTGTAATCCTCTGAATGAAACTTGTCCAGCTGCTCCAGCCCTGGGCACCAACCACACATGGCATTTCAACTCCACCGTTGATGATAACATTTGGACAGTTACCAACGGCGAGCTCTCCTACACCGATGAGGGGGCCGAGTTCAGCATCATCAAGAAGCTCGACTCGCCCACTCTGCAGTCCAACTTTTACATCTTCTTTGGAATCGTCGAGAGCCATGTGAAGATGGCCAAGGGCGGTGGTATCATCAGCAGTGTGGTCCTGCAGTCGGCCGACAGGGACGAGATCGATTGGGAATGGGTCGGATACAACACTAGCGAGGTGCAATCCAACTACTTTGGCAAGGGAAATGACACCTCGTTTAACCGGGGTGGATACCACGCCCTCGAAAACGCTGATACAGAGTTCCACAACTATACCACCTACTGGTCTCAAGAGAAGCTCGAATGGTGGCTGGACGGCAATCTGGTCCGCACTCTCCTACCAGAGGATGCCGTGGACGGTCAGAACTACCCCCAGACTCCCAGTAACATCCGGTTTGGCGTTTGGCCTGCCGGTGACTCCGGAAACCGCCAGGGTACGATCGAGTGGGCAGGTGGTGTGGTCGACTATGATGCCGGTCCATATACCATGGTGGTCAAGAGTGTCCGTGCTGTGGATTTCCATACCGGCAAGGAGTATGAATATGGCGACCACTCTGGATCTTGGGAGAGTATCAAGGTTGTTGAGTAAGTATCTATCGCATCCGTCATTATAAACCATTGCTAACTGGATAACAGGGGTAACTCGACCACTGTCACTGAGCTCAACAAGCCCCCACCGAAATCCCTGTCCGAGAAATGGGCCGACCTGCCTACAGGAGCCAAGGTTGGCATTGGATGCGGTGCTGCCGCTGCAGGTGTCCTTGCCGTGGCTGCTTTCTTGATCTTCTGCCTGAGACAGCGCCGCAAGGGCCGTCTGGAGCACGCCCTCGAAGACTCCAAATTTAGCTCGGACCGCAACGAGATGAACAACTTCCAGTCCGACTGGAAACAAAGCGAATGGAGACACAAGGGCTACCAACCGGTGGAATAGACCAACCCGTAATAGAAAATCATCTTGTGCATACAAAACAGAATCAGAACAAATACCCAGTCCCATTCGACAACACGCAAACAGTCGGCCCTATCTGCACATACGTTTCCGGGGATTGATTATGAGAAGCCATCCTCGCGCCGTTCGGCAGGCCGATATGGCTCGGGGATCGCCGCGATTTACATATATTAAACTCAAACTTCGGTTATCTGGCGTCCGTGGGGCGATGGGCTCCCTGATTCATTCATGAAATCTGTCTGTTTCCGACCATTTCTTTTTGGTTATGTTGATACTTTGTCTTTGTATATACCAACCGCGTTCTTTGGTGTCAATGTTCCTTTTTTGGCCGCTTGGCCACTTATTTTGTATAATCTATTCTCTGGACATTTACTCTGGACATTTACTACTATTTGGGAGATTGGCGATTTTCTTGATTGAATATATGAATTCTCTTGATCTGCAGTCCTGTACTGCAGCTCTGCCATCCAAGTTGGCGTTGATTCAAGGACCGGCCACTTATATACAGTCCTTGCTACGACAGGAGGTGAAAATTAACTCACCTTCAGGGGTATTATGTACAAATATCCACCTGCATGCAGCAAAAACCACCGAAACAACACAATATCGCTTTATTTGCACTGCCACTGCATAAATCCAGCGGCCTCAACCTCGCCATCGAAAAATGCCGAGGCATTGATTCTCCGATATGCCGTGTCGGGAAGCTGGGCCGTTCGAGATATCCACCGGCGTGCTATTCTTAATCTCCGTCTTCATCGCACCGTTGGTTCTGCGTTAAATCAGGGAACCCGACCGAGATGTCTATGCACTGGCAGCTGTCATTCGGACTTTATGCACTAATTATGACCTTCTCGAAGTCCTTTGGAATGCTGCGACCGTCTGATTATTCGACCTGGGCATTTCCCTCCGAGGCATTTCGATCGATGATCCTCACGTGAGTCGGTCTCGCCGATCGATGAACAGCAACACGAATGGCAGTCGAGCGATTATCATCGTTGCTTTATATACCTCGTTGCCCCTCATCGTCTTTGACCATATTTTCCAATTCCATTGAAATTTAAATCATCTTCTTCATTATATATCACCGTTTCTATCTAGCCGAGATTCACCGATTTGCTATCTTGCTGATCAGACTATATACGCGCCTGCAAAGGCACACCCAACTATGAGCGCAACACAACAGATTCCCATCCCAGGGCCCAGGGGGGTTCCATTGCTGGGAAATATCTATGACATTGACAGCGATGTGCCATTAAACAGTTTGGAGCTAATGGCAGAGAACTATGGTGTGTTCTTTTTTTTTTTTTTGTTCCTTTTCTTTGTGCCTTACCTCCCTTCCACCGCTACGTTGTATACCCCGCATGCGTCATCACTTACTGACATCTCTCAACACAAGGTTCCATCTATCGATTGACCACCCTTGGTGCCCCCAGAACATTTATCAGCTCCCACGAGCTCGTCGACGAGGTTTGCGACGAGTCAAGATTCACAAAAGCAGTCACAGCTGGCTTGAGGGAAATTCGCAACGGTATCCACGATGGTTTGTTCACAGCGAACTACCCCGGAGAGGAGAATTGGGCCATCGCCCATCGAGTGTTGGTTCCAGCTTTTGGACCGCTCTCGATTCGGGGCATGTTTGATGGTAAGGATTCATGTTCATACCAGGATGCGTGGCGGTTATTCTAATTGTCAATGCAGAAATGTACGATATTGCTACCCAGCTTGTCATGAAATGGGCACGACTGGGCCCCAAAACTCCCCTCGTGGTTACCGACGACTTCACCCGTCTTACCTTGGACACCATTGCCCTCTGCTCGATGGGTACTCGTTTCAACTCCTTCTACCATGACGAAATGCACCCATTTGTCGAGGCGATGGTTGGTCTCTTGCAGAGCTCTGGCGACCGGGCTCGCCGACCAGCACTACTTAACAACTTGCCGACAAGCGAGAATACGAAATACTGGAACGACATTACTTATCTTCGAAATCTGTCGCAGGAATTGGTCGACTCGCGGAAGAATAACCCCGAAGACAAGAAAGATCTCCTCAATGCTCTGATTTTGGGCCGGGATCCTCAGACAGGTCAGGGGATGACAGAGGATTCTATTATCGATAACATGATTACATTTTTGATTGCTGGTATGTCTACTTACGCATCACTCCATGTGATCTTATAGCTAACTGTATACAGGTCATGAGACTACTTCTGGAATGCTTTCATTTTTGTTCTACTACTTACTCAAGACACCTCATGCATACAAAAAGGCACAAGAAGAGGTGGACACAGTCATTGGGCGTCGGAAGATTACAGTGGATGACATGTCGAAACTGCCATACATCACCGCGGTCATGCGAGAGACACTGCGTCTTCGACCGACCGCCCCTGCAATCGCATTCCACGCCCATCCCGAGAAGAACAAGGAGAGCCCAGTGACACTCGGAAATGGAAAGTACGTCCTGAATGAAGACGAGCCGATTGTGGTCCTTCTAGGCAAGATGCAGCGGGATCCTCAAGTATACGGACCCGACGCAGAAGAATTCAAACCGGAACGAATGCTCGACGAGAACTTCGACAAGCTGCCCAAGAACGCATGGAAGCCATTCGGAAATGGAATGCGCGGATGTATCGGCCGCCCATTCGCCTGGCAGGAAGCTCTGCTGGTGGTGGCGATTTTGCTGCAGAATTTCAACTTCCAGATGGATGATCCCAGCTACGACCTTCGACTTAAGCAGACGCTGACGATCAAGCCCAAGGATTTCCAGATCAGAGCCACTCTGCGAGATGGTCTGGATGCGGTTAAATTGGGGACGTTGTTGAGCAGCAGTGGAGAGGCGCCCGAGAGCTCGGGGCCGGCTAGCAGGGAACGCAAGCCGAAGGTTGCTCCTCCGCCGGGAGAGACTAAGCCAATGCACATTTTCTTCGGTAGCAATACGGGAACCTGCGAAGCTTTTGCTCGGAGACTTGCTGATGATGCTATCGGATATGGATATGCGGCGGAGATCAAATCGTTGGACTCTGCGTTCCAGAATTTGCCCAAGAACGATCCAGTCGTTTTTATCACAGCCTCGTACGAGGGACAGCCGCCAGACAATGCGGCGCATTTCTTCGAGTGGCTTAGTGATCTGAAGGGCAAGGAATTGGAGGGTGTCAATTACGCTGTTTTTGGATGCGGTCACCGTGAGTTTGCCTTACCACCTTGAAGAGCATTTACTTACCTTTATGATTAGACGATTGGCATGCTACCTTCCACCGGATTCCCAAGGCCGTCAACGAGCTTAGTGAAGAGCATGGAGGAACTAGACTGTGTGAGATGGGATTGGCCGATGCAGCCAACTCGGACATGTTTACCAACTTTGATAGTTGGGGCGAGTCTGCTTTCTGGCCTGCCATTTCCTCCAAGTTTGGTAGCGCTCAACCGGCACAGGGCCAGTCGAAATCGGCTCTGCAAGTCGAAGTCAGCACCGGATCTCGGGCCTCGATCTTGGGTCTTAAGTTGCAGGAAGGATATGTCCTTGAGAACAAACTGCTCTCTGGACCGGGAGTTCCTGCCAAGCGCATGATTCGGTTCAAGCTCCCCTCTGACATGACCTACCAATGCGGTGATTATCTTGCGGTTTTGCCCGTGAACCCAAGCAGCGTTGTTCGTCGCGCAATGCGTCGCTTCGAGCTTCCGTGGGATGCTGTGCTTAAGATCCAGAAGGCTTCTAAGGCAGCGTCCTCATCTATTCCCCTGGATACTCCCGTCTCTGCTTTCGATTTACTTTCGACATACGTGGAACTCTCTCAGCCTGCATCCAAGCGTGATCTGAATCTCATTGCCGATGCAGCTGTTACGGATGCCGAGGCGCAAGCAGAGATCCGCTTCTTCGCTTCAAGCCCTAGTCGGTTTACCGAGGAGATTGTTAAGAAACGATTGAGTCCTCTTGATCTTTTGATGCGGTACCCGACCGTCAAGCTGCCGATTGGCGACTTCCTCGCCATGCTGCCACCGATGCGTGTGCGTCAGTACTCCATCTCCTCCTCTCCCTTGGCCGACCCATCCGAATGCTCGATCACCTTTGGTGTCCTCAACGCGCCATCCCTCGCGGCAGAGTCCTTGCCATCGAGCGAGCAGGCCAAGGAAGAAGAATATTTGGGTGTCGCCTCGAACTACCTGTCAGAGCTCCACGAAGGCGAACGTGCTCAAATCACAGTTCGTGCCTCGCACACAGGCTTCAAGCCACCCACTGACATCAAGACTCCCATGATCATGGCTTGCGCAGGTAGCGGACTGGCACCCTTCCGCGGCTTCGTCATGGACCGCGCTGAGAAGATCCGGGGAAGACGCAGTTCGCTGAACTCCGATGAGGAGCTGCCGGAATCGGAAAAGCCCGCCAGAGCTATCTTATACGCTGGCTGTCGGACACAGGGCAAGGATGATGTCCACGCAGCGGAGCTGGCCGAATGGGAGAAACAGGGTGCTGTGGAAGTCCGATGGACGTACAGCCGACCGGCCGACGGCAGTAAGGGCCAATATGTCCAAGATCGCATGCTGGAAGACCGTCGGGAGCTAGTCGACTTGTTCGACCAGGGTGGACGGGTCTATGTCTGTGGTAGTACCGGTGTGGGTAACGCCGTGCGAGACGCCTGCAAGACGATGTACGTGGAGAGGCGTCGGGAAGTCCATGAGCAAATGAGGGAGAGAGGCGAGCCAGTTCCAGAAGAAGATGAAGAGACAGCAGCGGAGACGTTCCTGGATGGGCTGAAGACGAAGGAGAGATATGCGACGGATGTGTTTACTTAGGCAGATTGTTGTGACTTAGCTTAGCATTTAATATCCAATCCATTCTTTCTGATACATTTTATGATTTCCTTATCAGCTGGACCCAGAAGATGTACAGCCGATGTAACATTAATTAATTAGCAGACTTGGCTTCAACGTGGGTGCGATTGCTTGTTGTGACTGGTTCGTATCATTCTTATAAATCCCCTCATCTTTTTATCTTCAACCCCCTCATCCTCAATTCCTCATACACATACACATACAGAAAATACAAAAATGAAACCCCTCACCCTCCTCTCTCTCCTCCCCACCGCATCATCCCTCACAATCAGCGAAATAAACAGCAACCGCTTCCTCTCCCCCCACGCCGACAGCACCATCTCCAACATCGCCGGTCTCGTCACAGCCACAGGCCCCAATGGCTTCTACATCCGCTCCACAGACCCCGACAACGATCCTCGCACCTCCGAATCCATCTACGTCTACTCCACCTCCGCCATCTCCCAAGTCAGCGTCGGCGACATCATCTCCCTCTCAGCTAGAGTCTCGGAATACCGCTCTTCGTCTGCGTACAGCTACCTAACGGAACTAACATCGCCGTCTGAGATTACCGTCAAATCCACCTCGAATACTGTATCCCCGCTTGTCCTCGGTAAGGATGGATTAAGTCCGCCGACGGAGGCATTCTCGGCGCTGGATGTGGGCGAGGACGGTGTGCTCAGCGTACCGAATAATGTTAGCCAGATTTCGAGCCAGAATCCGATCTTGGAACCGGGAAAGTATGGAATGGATTTTTGGGAGAGTCTGAGTGGGGAGTTGGTGAGTGTTTCTGGGGCGAGGGTGATAAGTACTCCGAATCGGTATGGGGATACCTGGGTTGTTGGGGATTGGGGGGTGTCCGGGGGGAATGGGAGAGGTGGGTTGACGATGAGAGCTGATGGTTTGCCTTTCTTTTCTTTCATCTTCATCATAATTGATGGTTCTAACAGACAGCAGACTCCAACCCCGAAGCAATCATAATCGGCTCCCCCCTAGATGGGACTAAGAATCCCACCGACTCCAAACTCGGCGATACACTGTCCAACATCACAGGCATCATCACCCAGGCGTATGGGTATTATACTCTCCTCCCACTGACAGCGCTGAACGTGACCGGGTCAAATGGGACAGAAGCAGCACCTACAACACTCGTCTCGGATGAGACTTGCACTGCGCTGTCAATTGGGTCGTATAATGTGGAGAATCTGGCGCCGGATTCTAAGCATCTGCCCAAGGTTGCGGCGCATATTGTGGAGTATCTGAAGAGCCCGGTTTTGGTGTTTTTGCAGGAGATTCAGGATGATGATGGGCCGACTGATGATGGAGGTGAGTACTATCTATCTCCACCTCTACTACATACATATGCCGGGATAGCTAACAGAAGAAAAGTAACCTCATCAAACAAAACACTGACTACCCTAACCAACGAAATCCAATCCCGCAACGGCCGCAACTACACCTTCACCGACATCCCCCCCATAAACGACCACGACGGCGGCCAACCAGGCGGCAACATCCGCGTTGCCTACCTCTACGATCCAACCGTTATCCAACTACACAACCCGAACCCTGGCTCAAACAGCGACGCCAACGACGTCCTCCCCGGCCCCGAACTCAAATTCAACCCGGGCCTGATCGATCCAGGTAACGAGGCGTGGGAGTCGACTCGGAAACCGCTCGCCGCGGCGTGGGAGACGGTTGGTGATGGTGGGAAGAATGTGTTTTTCACGATTAATGTGCATCTTACGAGTAAAGGGGGCAGTTCGTCGATTGAGGGTGATGCGAGACCGCCTGTTAACAAGGGTGTTGAGAAACGGACGGAGCAGGCGGAGGTTGTTGCTGTATGTCCCTCCCCTCTCCATTGGAAACATACATCAAGCTAACTAAAGAACGCAAAGAACTTCACATCAACCCTCCTCGCCACATCCCCAGACGCGAAGATCCTCATATCAGGCGACTTTAACGAATTCGCCTTTGCGCCGCCCCTGCAAACCCTTCAGGCAAAATCTGGACTGAAAGATCTCGACGATGTAGTCGGAACACCATCTACGGAGCGCTACACGTACCTGTACGATGCAAACTGTCAGCAGTTGGATCATATGTTTGTGAGTGAGGCGTTGGGGAACGAGAAGGCGAGGATGGAGCATGTGCATGTTAATACGTGGGTTGGGTCGGCGGAGCAAGTGTCGGATCATGATCCTACGGTGGCGGTTTTGGATGTTTGTAGTTAGATATTAGTATATACATGGGACGTTTTGGTGGTGTGGGTTTTAGTATGGTGTTTAGTACAGTATTTGGCTATAGCTATAAAGGTCTATTCCATTTTTCTATATCTATAACTGTGGGTCTGACCTTGAAAGGGTTGTCTATTTTTTACTAGATAGAACTGCATACAGTACGTGCAACATTTCTGTGTCGAAAATGATCAACGATTATACCAGATGAAGCTACATAAAACTGCATCAAGTGATTTTATACCCGAAAGACTATGTCAAGCCAAGGTAGAGCTATAGAAGACGTTGAACAAATCATAAAAAAAACTGACCTCGGCCCTGCTTCCAGATCATCGATGGTGCAGCACTGTCTGCCATCGTCGACGGCTCCGTGCTGTAAAAGCAGATTCACAATTGAAACTTGATATATTTGGTTATAGTTATGGTCGGTGCATCCATTCTGCTATATCTAGTTCATTGCAAAGGTGGGCTTGGCTTTAAGAGAATTGTATACAGCACCAGCTGTGTTTACTTCCAGATTAAGCTACGTATTTACAATAGGCACGGCATATAAACTTAAGAATACTGCAGATTCTTTAATAAAAATAAGCCAATCTATCCAATCGACACAAAATAGAAACATCCAATCGTATCATCCAAATCCACCCTTGAAGTAGCTCCTGGCTGCTTCATTTTCTTCGCATTTGATTTCTCCAAAGATGGCATGTCGTCATTCAACACTTAAGCTCGTTTAAGCAGAGAAGGGGACGGGAGAGCCAGAGGGGGTGGGGAGTCCCGAAACGGGGAATCCGCTAGGGAATCCGCCGGTGGGGACGGGTCCAGGGGCGGGGAAGCCCGAGGGGAGAGGGAAAGGAGGCTCAGAGGCTCCCTGGCGCTTGGCGAATGGGAGACCAGTGGGCAGAGGGAATGGGAGCGACAAGCTGGGGAGACCGGATGGGATAGGCAGGTCAGTGGGGAGGGGGAACGGGAGACCCTCCTCCTCGCGCTTCTCAAAAGGCAGACCGGTAGGCAGAGGGAATGGCAGAGACAGGCTGGGAAGACCAGATGGAATAGGCAGGTCAGTAGGAATTGGGAACGGGAGACCCTCCTCCTCGCGCTTGAACGGCAAGCCGGTTGGGATAGGGAAAGGCAGCGACAGGCTGGGAAGACCAGATGGGATAGGCAGGTCAGTGGGGAGGGGGAATGGGAGACCCTCCTCCTCACGCTTCTCGAAAGGCAGACCGGTAGGCAGAGGGAATGGCAGCGACAAGCTGGGGAGACCGGACGGGAGCTCGGTAGGAATAGGGAACGGGAGACCCTCCTCCTCGCGCTTGAACGGCAAACCGGTAGGCAGAGGGAATGGCAGCGACAGGCTCGGGAGGCCGGATGGGAGCTCAGTTGGAAGAGGGAATGGGAGACCCTCCTCCTCGCGCTTCTCAAAAGGCAGACCGGTAGGCAGAGGGAATGGCAGCGACAAGCTAGGGAGACCGGACGGGAGCTCGGTAGGAATAGGGAACGGGAGACCCTCTTCCTCGCGCTTGAACGGCAAGCCAGTCGGGATAGGGAATGGCAGCGACAAGCTGGGGAGGCCGGTTGGGAGCTCAGTTGGGATGGAGAACGGCAGAGAGAATGGCAGGTCGAGACCCTGACGCTTTTCGGCGGGAGTGGGTGCGGCGAGAGCGTAGCTCACGAAGCCCAGAGTGGCGGCGGTGCTGTATTTCATTGTGAAGATTCGCTAGTCAAAGAGTGACTGGAGAAAGTAATCTGCGAGGGTGTATGGAAAAGAAAGTGCTTGGATGTTAAAGAAGCACACAAGCTTGATTGTTGGATAGAACAGTTTCCAGAGGAATTCGAGGGCTCTTTATAGGAGTAAGGATCAAGTAGAGAATAGCGATTAAGGCATGGCACTTAAGATCGTCATGTCTATCACACCATTCAGCGCAATCCCACACCTCGGAGGTTTGTCACTTCTCAGGGAAGGATGCTGGTCGATCCTGATTAGCATGGCATTCACAGGTTCGTCTGGTCGACAGATTCAGCGGGTCATGGTTGAGCCGTGGGAGATTAGACCTGCACCCAAAACCGCTGCCAGGAGTTCCCAAGTCGCAACTGTCCAAGGAAGGTATCGACACTCGGTTAACGGCCGCAGGTACAAACTTTAGGTGCAGCGATCCTCCACGTTGAAACAGAAAGAGCGTGTATACCCTGGATGGGATGTTTGGTAGAGGTGGGAATTTGGGTCTGAACCACAGGACCAAGTTGCTTGTTTTCGTCCCTGAAAGTCACCTATTCTATCCTACTTCTCGATTAGTTCAATTATTCAGTGACTAGATTACTACACTCAGGGAGTACAGCGTGGCGCGACGATAATAATCGACAATAACGTCTTTCAGTGCTGTTTAGCGCTTCACAGCTCGAGGAATTCGCCATTGATTATTCGAGACCGTTCGAATATCGTTATCCGGCTATGCTTCAAATCCCCAAACTTCAGACATCCAGGTCCTGACTGCTTCAGAAATCGTGCGGAGTCCTAATCCGCTGAATGATTATCAGTATCCAATCAGAACGCTAGTATAGACCCTTTGATCGACACACCAACAACATGTTGGTCGGTGGCTCGGTCACCGTCGCCGTTGGAGAGTCGAGCGCCCGGACTTTTTCTGTACCGGATCAGCTTTTGGCCACGAATAAACTGGGGATTCCACCAACTCTTTTGCCATTGACCCAGGCCCTCAGGGCAGGAGGGATATGGCTTCGCAGGCCGGAGCCCCGAGGGACCGGAAGAGATGGAAACACTGGTGGTTTGAGTGCTGTTAGACCGGACGTGTCGGTACCTTGCAGTCAAAGTTTAACGAAGGCCCGTGGATTAGGCTGTTGGATACCCGGCGATCCCTTCCAAGCATAGTGATGATCACTCCCCAAACCAGGGGAGAATTTATGGATCGATCGTCGCTGTCGCCGGATTTGGCATTCTGGCCGATGCATCAGCCCAGCAAAGAGAATGCTTCAAAAATGGGGAAAACGCATGAAGGATAGATCCCTGGATGCGAGATGACGATAATTGCCACCAGATATGATGCTTTCCCCATTCAGTTGGAGATACCGATGGGTGAAACACGACGACTGAGGGGAAAAGAGAGGAAGAGGAAGACGAGGATGGGCGCAGTGGACACCTGAGGCAGAAAAGAACACCGCCAGCCTTTCTCGAACAACGCGTCAACATCTGGACTCAACCTCCCACACCTCTCCAACAATCTTGTCTCGAATCCTTTTTCTCATCTGGTGATCTCATATCCTCCACGGATGACGATGGCTGGTATCAAACTCCATACAGATTGATTCCTTGGCGCATCTGCTCCTACGCAGTATGCTGTCTTGATGCCATGCTCGATCGCCATGACTGCGATAGACGATCGATGCTGCTTTTCTGAATTTTGTGACATTGTGGACATGCGTTCTGACCTACGGAGAACTCCGTGCTATCACAGTATACGCGTCTCTATACGCTTTATGCCGTGTTCTAGTACTCGAATTGATACTAGGATGATGGTTTGCGCACATAGACTTTTGCCAACAGGCCTGTTCCTGTTCCGGACGGCAACGACCATGAGCAGTCAATAGCCGCATTTTTGAGCAGGAATTATACACGAATACACTCACCATATTCTGTTTACTGTCGGTCTACGGCATTTTCTGCGTATCTGTTACCCGAAAGTTCCTAACTTTACGCTGGACTCTAGAAGATTCTTCCGCAGTTTAACCTCAAACACAAATACCTTGGAGATGTGACGATCGAACTCAGATCACTCTCGCTTTCCTAATAGAGAGCTTTGCTATGTATTGCTGGATGGTGATATTGAGATCACGAAATGTTATTCTCGATATTGTCATGTCAAGCCAGATGCAAGTTGGCCCCACGGCCATGCGTAGATGTCAGGCATCCTATGCACTCATTCAAGGATATGCATGGTGATGAATTGCGTCTTGCTACGGAAATTCCGAAGTTCCCCTCTTGACGTCGGTCGAGTCCCGAAGTCTCATTTCAACCTTTTGCTCTCAGAAGACACGACGATCAAGGAACGCGAACGGCACATACTGTATATTGCGCCCTATCAAAGTAGTAAATGGATCTGCCGAACTCACCTGCTGGTAGAGACCTTATCAGATCAGCATAAGCATTGGCCAACAAGTTCCTGGATATTGCCTCATTCTGGTAAGAGGCTACATATTACATACCAGCCCGGAAAGGCTGAATAGATGCTTCCCATGGCTCAATTCATCCTACATAGGCTTCGCTCGCCATTTGCCGAGGTGAACCGGATTTCCCTTTAGGGCGAGCCATTTTTTCGAGTCTTGATACATGAGTCGAGCGGTGCCGTCCAAGTCGGCAAAATTGCGGAACTGCGTAACGATCATCGCCACCGTTTGCAGCCAAGGCCCCCCACGTGCGAACCACCTGTAGATATCTGACGTCGGGCCTTTTAATGCATTACGGTTGGATATCTACAACAGATTCCCTGGTTTTTCGAAAGACCAATTTTGAGACCTCGCAACCTGAACCCGACAGTGCTTGCGTGAGTTGACTGAGGATGATGCATTCACCACCAGAATAAAAGTTAAGTATGCTTCTCGAGCGATGAGGTCTTTTTCCAGAACGAATTAGAACCAGAAAAACAGGCTTATGCTATTCCATATGCCGATACCATGATCCTTTGTGTGGAACTCAGTTCTTCCTTCACTCATGGTTAATGCACATAGGCATAACCTGAAACAAGTGACACGTCTTCCGCCCCAAATCAGTTGGGGATTTGATTCCTTTGCCAACTCACAACAGGTATTGATGGGAATCGCCACTGGACACCGATAGATGCTGTCCCAATCTCGACATTGAGGGGAAATATACGACAACAAGGAGCCTCTCGCACCCCGCAGTCTCCAACGCCGGGCAGTCTTCCGAATATCATCCGATGAAATCACCGCGCAATCTTTTGCCACCTGGACCATCATGCACGTCAGTGGTGGAGCGAGATATTTCCAGGCCTTGAAAGATAGCAAATAGGATTATATGGCTCAGCCGCACATGGCTGCACGACTCGAAGGAATATTCAATTGCACAATCTGATTTCGTTTCAGAGGCTTACCCCTCAGCACATTCGAGTAATGACTCACTGAGGGAACTTTTGCCATAGCTCATCATCTTCATTACCTCGAACAATCACGCAAACACAGTCTGCAATGGTTGAGACTCAGATGATACGGATACCACCCATATCCCACGCGGATGCTGTAGAGAGCGTGCAATCTCTATCCTTTTGAGTTGCACACAATGATTTTGTGAAAGAGCTTTTCCCTTGGACTAACAAAAGGTATCGATCGCTTTTCGCACGCCATATGGACATTGAGCGTTATCTGCAACACCATATCATAATTGTACACAGCCCCTTGTGCTGTAGATGTGGTTTATGGTTGGGATTCTCGCCATGCCCCCAAAGAGGAGCGTTTCAAAGTCCTCTTTGACGCGGAGAGAGGCGAACAACGATCGGCTTCGCCCCGTGGATACGGTCATGGATGATGTAGAGGTCGAGGTTGCCGAAACAATACCATCTAAATCTGGGCTCTTCTCTTCAAAATTATTATTTCCATACTGGACATGTCTTTTCGATATGGTTGGACCTTTTCTCCCTAAATAACATTATCAGTTAGTTGGCTTATCGTATTTTCTCTTTCCAGGAAGGACCTCGTTGAATGCTTTTGAGCCTGTCCTCCTTTTCTGAATCATATCGTGTACCTCAAAATCTGAATGAATGCCTCGATGCCTAATTGACGTTTCGCTTTTCCAGTTTGGATGAGTGGACTTAATCCAAGTCCCGATCTCGAATAAGACGTGTGTTTTCCCCCAAAGGCGTATGGTCTCGGATATCTGCCACTGTCCCGGATAAGACTGAGACCTGTTGTTTATCCGACACCACCTACTCCTCATATCATCAACCACAAACAACCATGGCCAAGCCTCGTCTAGGTGTCTTGTCTCCCAAGAATGCCGGGAACAGACTCTGGGCACCCCCGCATCTACGAGCTTGGGTACCCCGGATTTACTCGAAAGGGCACAGTGCACCATCTTCCCCACGGGGAATTTTGTATGTATATTGTAGATTGAGCTTTTCCGATGCAGGACGGAATGGCTTGGCGCCGGGTGGGATGTCTATATGAGGCCTGCAATGCTACGATCGATGCAAGCCTTTAGAAAAAAAAACGTCTGCTAAGTGTTCTCCACCAGACTGGAGCATTCACATTACCACCATGGATCCAACATTGAAAGAAACGGACAAGCGGAATGACCAGCATATCGAGCACGTTGAGCAGGGCGATGAAATCTTGAAGCCCACTCAGAAATATGACAAATTTGGGTCCACAACTAAGACGGATCCCAAAGAGATAGCGCTGGTGAGGAAGATTGATATTTACATGATGGTGCCGTATTTCTGCAGCTCCACTATATGAGATGGGACTGACAGGCTATAGCCCATTCTTTGGCTCATGTATTTTCTCAACTTCCTGGACCGGAATGCGATGGTCAATGGCAAGCTCAACAGTTTGTCCGAAGATCTGAACTTGCAGGGGACGCAGTATAATACCTGTGTTAGCATTCTATTCGTTGGGTATGCAGGATTTATTCTCTTTGAGTCATTTGCAAGACTAATAGATGATATTAGTTATTTACTTGGCCAAGTACCATCAAATATGCTGCTGAACCGAGTCCGACCCGCCTGGTATATGTCCGGGTTCATGATGGCGTGGGCAATCGTCTCTACTCTCAACTGCCTAGTCAAGGACTATCATGGTCTGCTCGTTTGCCGTCTGGTACTTGGGATTGTGGAATCTCCATTTTACCCCGGTGCGCTTTTCATGATCAGCCAGTTCTACAATAGAAAGGAGGTGACTACCCGAATGGCGATCCTTTATACAGGCAACATGTTAGCAAGTGCGTTTTCCGGTCTCATAGCCGCTGGTGTCTTTGCCGGGCTAGATGGATCGCATGGACTAGCTGGATGGCGGTGGCTATTCCTCATCCAAGGCGTGATCACTGTTGGCGTCGCTGCTGTCGCTTTCTTCTTGCTGCCTAACTCTCCACTCCAAACACCCTGGCTGAATCAGGAAGAACGAGTTCTTGCCCACGAACGTATCGCACGCGACACCACGGAGAAACAAGATGGAACGAGCACCTGGACTGGCCTTCGAGAAGCCTGCATGGACTACCGCACCTGGGTCTTTGCCCTGATGTGCAATCTGCATCTGTCGGCGAATGGATTCAAGAATTTCATGCCTACTGTGGTGAAAACCCTTGGATTCGATTCCACTATCACGCTCGTATTAACATGTCCACCATACCTGGTCGCCACATTCACCTCCATTGCCGTTTCCTGGTCCTCGGGCCGCTTCAACGAACGGACCTGGCATATAACCATCTCCAAAGCCCTGGCCATCGTCGGATTCGCGGTCGGCTGTGGAACGTCAAGCATTGGAGCGCGCTATTTTGCCATGATTCTCTTTGTCGGTGCCACATACGGGGTCAACAACATCAACATCGCCTGGGTGGCAGCAACGTTGGGCCAAACGGATGAGAAAAAGGCGGTGGCGATCGCAATCACGAATACCCTGGGAAATTTGGCCAGTGTGTACACACCGTATCTGTGGCCAGATTCAGATGCACCGCGGTTTGCGATGGCGATGTACTGCAGCATTGGGTTCTCGGCGGGAGTGGTGATTGTGGCGTGGCTCATGAGGGTGATTCTCATTCGGGAGAATCGAAAGATTCGGGCGACGAACTCTGAAGCGATTAATTTCTATGCATATTAGTATACTGACCTCGGCATAGTTGTTAGGGTTGAATGAACTCAATGTTAGTATACCTCGGATTATCCAACTTACAGCAAAGTAGTTGTTTGATGTTTTCCATTTGATGCCACAAGTATCTGACATGGTATAGTATATTGTCCACTTTTACTTCTGATATCATGAGGCCTTATATAACCACAAAGACTATTCTGAATGAATCTGGCGTCCACTCACAATCCTCTATCTGGTCTATTCAGAGTACAGCGAGTATACATAGCGACACAATCTATCTGTTAATCCAATTAATTCTTCAACTTCTGCTGCTCAGCCCATTCCCTCGCACTCCTCTTCGCACTCTCCTCTCCAACTTCGCCAAAGATATCCACGCCCAGTCTGGCCGGGAAGTTCATCCGCTGGTGTCGTTCAAGGGCCTGGATAGCCTCGAACGCATCATCAGGAAGGACGAATGCTTATCATATACGTTAGATCTCCACTTCGGAGTAATGGGATAAAACATGCATACCTTCGAGATTACTCTGAATACGCTCAGGTGTGACAGACTTGGGCAGCACGATGGTTCCACGCTGAAGAGCCCAACTGATGAGAACCTGGGCTGGTGTTCTCCCGAGCGATTCTGCGATTTTCATCACGGTCGGATCGTCGACGGCACTGTTTATGATTAATACTTGGGATGGTATCTGAGGGAAAGTGATACATACCGAGGAATATTGTAGATGTTGTTTCCCAGCGGCGAATATGCTTCGATGATGATTCCCTTTATTGTCAGTTTACCAATCATTATCATCCTGGACATCAACTAACCTGCTGTTTAGACCATTCGAGCAAATCTCTCTGTTGAAGATACGGATGAGCCTCGATTTGATTGACTGCTGGGAGTATTTTGGCTCTATCTGATATCAGCACAAGCCATGGACAGTAGGACAATTGCATACGTCTTGATCACTTCTTCGATCTTTCGTCTGGTAAAGTTGCTCACTCCGATTGTGCGCACTTTTCCTTTCTCTACCAGAGCCTCCATTGCCCTCCAGGTGTCTTGTATAGGGACATCGACGACGTCAATCAGGCCTGTTTCTGCGTTGATGGGCTGGATGGTGGTTGTGGAGTGGCTGAATGCCACAGGCCAGTGGATCTATACTGTCAGTTTGATATAATATATCCAGTTAATGAAACTAACCAGATACAAGTCCAGATAGTCAGTTTGAAGATCTCTCAAGGTACGATCCAGAGCGTCTTCAACATTCTCTGGATGGTGGTCTGTATTCCACAATTTACCGGTAATCTGGTCTGTAAATATCTACCTCTTCAAAGGGAGAAAGAACATACGAAAATCTCATCTCTTGCAACACCAGACACCTTGATGCCATCGCCAACTTCCCTTTCATTCCCATAAACCGACGCAGCGTCAATGTGTCGATATCCGCATTTCAGCGCAGCGCAAACGGCGTCTTTGACCTGGTTCGGCTGGGACTGCCAGGTTCCCAGGCCGATGGCAGGCATGGAATAGCCGGATTTGAGTGTGTATGACGCTTTGACGGACATTGTGATGTTGATTCTTGTCTATTGTTCGTGATAGTGATCGTAGAGTGGTATTTATTCTCGTGGATATATCGGGTTCTTTTCCGGTGTGATGAAGATATCCGAGGATCGGAAATGGATATAGCTTCACCTTGCGGGGTATCGGGATATTTACAGCCATCATTGTCTATACTATTGCTTATCCTATCTTAAATTATTATTGATGATCGAGATTGATATGGATGAGCCGCCCCCCAAACGTCGTCGTTCCAGCAATGCTCGCATCCGCGTCACTCGAGCCTGCGATGTCTGCAAGAGGTATGTATACAACCCCAACGAAGTCATCATCGCCTAACCCGGAAAAGAAAGAAACTGCGCTGTTCAGGGACGATCCCCTGCGCGCCGTGTCTGCGATCGCACGACTGCTGCCAGTACAACGCGGGCTACACGCGGGGCAAACTGCCTGCGATCCCCCCGCTGAATCCCTCCCAGCCTCTCCCTCTGCAATCTCCCCCCAACACTGACGTCGAGGCGGAATCCAGCATCGTCAACATCGACACAGCCAGGTCGGATTGTATTTCTGAGCATCCAGATCCAGAAACGGAGATCCAGAACGAAGAAGAACCACGGCAGTTCTCATCTAGTCACTCGCCTGAGCCCGCTCAGACAGACCAAGAAGGCCACTATGTTGGTCCGGCGTCTGGTGCGTCATTTCTGATTCGAGTCCAGAAACGACTCCATGAGAATGTGACTTTCTCTGAAGACACGCCCATCTTCAACTTTGGGGATGCCCCGTTGTCGGAATATGGAGATGCGTCGATGCTTGTCCTGCCACCCAAGGATGAAGCTGATGCCCTTGTCGACCGGTATTTTGACTTTGCTTTTCCCACGCATCGGTTTCTGCATCAGCCTACCGTGAAGGCGTGGCTGGATGGGATGTATGCGAGTGTGTATCGACGTGGTGCTGGATCGCTAGAGCGAGGGGCTCGAGAGACAAGGGCGTTGTTGCTTATGGTCATGGCGCAGGCCAAACAATACCTTCTTGATAATGATGCGATAGGTGGATGTGTGGATAGGTATGCTTCACTTGAGACTTGATGATAATTGCTAATCAGATCAATCTACATGTAGTACTATTTACTTTGGCGCTTCTGAATCCCATCTCGCAGCCGAAACCGGTCCGGTACGGTTAACCAGTATACAAGCACGTCTGATGCAGTGTTTCTATCTTTTATCAGAGTCACGAATCAACCATTGCTGGAGTTTGTTTGGCACTACAGCTCGATTGGCCCTGGCTATAGGGCTTCATCGACGACGGAGACGGGAGAGGGGAGTGGATTATATCGAGCAAGAGTGTCGGAAGAGGGTATTCTGGTGTGCATACAGTCTGGATAATTATCTGAGTGCAGCGCTGGGACGACCGAAGATCTTTCACGATGAAGATATTGATCAGGTGGGTTGTTTTCTGGTGACTTGATCCAAGGCTAATGTTGTTTAGGAACTCCCGGTTTGTGCCAATGACAGCCAGATTATGCAAAGTCGCATTCTTCCTAGGACATCTAAAGGGCAAAGTATCATGCTTGCTCCGGTGTATCACGCCAAGTAAGTCAGACAATATCTGCTATGGTTCATCCCAAGTAACTAGCAGACTTTCCAAAATAATCAGCGGAATCCTCAAAGATCTCTACGGCATCCGTGTTGGCAGTCTTGAATCCCAAGTCCAAGCAACCGAGCGACACGAATCCGAACTCGAGGAATGGCGAAAAGGCATTGCTTCGTTTCTGGATGTGGCCAATACTGATGTACTCATGGTGGTGTATCAACGACAACACACGGTCCTGAGTTTAGCATTTGCACATGCAAAAATTCTACTACATCGGCCTTTTCTATTCCGCATTCTTGCATCGTTATCATCTGGGAGATCTGCTGATATACAGACTGCTGTCCGTACCGGCGTTGAGCGGTGCTTGGAGGCTGCATCGAGGGTTGTTGCGATATTTAGAGAATTGTGTGCTAATAAACGGATGTATCCGTCTTTTTGGGTATTCTCTCCATTCCCTCTGTCTAATGTATACTGACTATTTAGTTCACACATTACTATGTCTTCTCCGCCATCGTCGTCCTCTACGTCCACGTCATCTGCAGCCAGTCCGACTCCTCCGACAACTGGCACCACTATCTCGAGTCCGGAGAACAAGCTCAACAGGAGCTCTCAACATGCGGAACCAACTCATCATTCGCCCATCGCTACGTTGTCGTCCTGGAAGAACTGCGACGGGAAGCGCTCAAAGCCGTACGCCAGAAATCGGGAGCAGCGCTACCAAAAGAATCACCATTACCTACTCAAGACTCACCATGCCATTGTCGAGAGGATCGTGCTATCGATCAGGGGAATATGCGGTTGGATCAGCTGTTTGGGATTGAGAACGTGGGATCGTTGCAGGAGTGGATGGATGGGTTGATGGATGGGAGTCCGAGGGAATTGGCTGGATGGGGGGAATTTGATTCTCTGGCTGGATTGGGGTCTTCAGCTATTTGATGTATTTCTATGCTGAATTTCGTGTCGACGTATGGATACTACCTATACTATAGTCATTAACACACTGCATATCTATAGTCCAGCCAAGTGTATAGATACAATTGGCCAATGGCAAAACACTTTGCGTATCACGTGCACAACGCCACCAATCACAAGCAGAGAAAACTCTGATTGGCTGTGTTTTCCAGGTACATTTGATGCTTTTAATGCATTCCAAGGAACAATTCAACACATAATAATCATTTATCAGCATAATTAAGCCATGATCAGCATAATCAATTAGCTTTCCAGTAAGTCTAATCATCCACCATATATTGGCCGATCATGAAGTTGCAAGATGGAGATCGGATGGCGTGATCTACATCCAGATAACCTGGAGCTGACCGTCTCTCCAGATCAACATTCAACATTCTCTCCAGCATCCACGCATTGATTGAGACAACATCATGGCCAAAACTGTCGCTGTCATCGGCACTGGCCCGTCGGGGGCTATCGCTGTTGATGCCCTGATGCAGGAAAAGTCATTCGATGTTGTTCGTGTCTTCGAGAGACAGGAGAAAGCGGGGGGTTGTTGGTTCGTTATTCTCCATTCCCTATGTCCTCAATTATCACCAGCTCTAATTTAATTCATCCAGGATTTCTCGACAGAATGAAAAACAACACCCCCTCGACATTGATCAACTATCTAGTCGAACCGCCGACTCCCCCATCGCCATCCCCCCCTCTCTTCCCTGTCACACCCCCGCGCTCTCCGCCAACCGCTTCACTGACTCCCACATCTACCCAACCCTGCACACAAACGTCGAAGCCTCAGCAATGGAATACTCCCAGGAACCCATCCCGACGGCTCGCTCGGAACAGTCCATCGCGCTCCACGGTCCGGATACGCCATTCCGCCACCACACCGTGATAAGAGAGTACATCGAGTCGCTGTTCAATCGCAACGGATACCAGGATCTAGTCGAGTACAACACGACGGTTGAGCGGGCGATCAAGGACGAAAGCACGGGGAAATGGACCCTCACGCTGCGTCGCGCCGGCGAGAAACTCGATTACTGGTGGACGGAGTCGTTTGATGCGTTGGTTGTCGCGTCGGGCCATTATTGGGTGCCGTTTGTGCCCGCCATTCCGGGGTTGAAGGAGTTCACGGAGCGATATCCGGAGAGTGTGGAGCATGCGAAGCAATACCGGGGGCCGGAGAAGTATAAAGGGAAGAATGTCCTTACAGTCGGCGCCTCCGTCTCAGCAGCCGATACAGCAGTCAGTTTGATCGGGTCGGCAAACACCCCCATCAACGCCGTCGTCCGAGGCAGATATAACGTCTATTTCGGCGATGAGGCATTCAAACACCCGCAAATCCAACGACGACCACCAATCTCGCATATCGAAAGCGACAACGGCGCGCGAACCGTCCACTTCGAAGACGGGACCTCCGTGCCAAACATCGACCACATCATCCTCGGAACAGGATTCACCTGGACTCTCCCTTTTCTGCCTGATATCCCGACCCGGAATAACCGCGTGCCGGATCTGTATCTGCATGTGTTTCATCAGCGGGATCCGAGTTTGGTGTTTCTTGGTGCTGTCGGCGCGGGCCTAACCTTCAAAGTCTTCGAATGGCAAGCCGTCGCTGCAGCACGCGTGCTAGCCGGGAAAGCCCACCTGCCCTCCCTGACCGAGCAAAAGAAATGGGAAGCCGAGCGCATCGCGACCAAAGGCGACGGGCCGGCTTTCACCATGATCAACCCCGACTTCGAACCGTATTTCGAACAGCTGCGCCATTTGGCTGGGGAACCGGGTGAAGGGGAGCCCGGGCGCAGATTACCCGTGTTTGATGGGAAGTGGGTGGATGATTTTAATGCGGGCCATCAGCGCCGGATTGAAATGTGGAAGAGGGCGAATAGTGTGGGGAGTAAGTTGTGATTTTCTTTCTTTTCTTCTTGTGTATTGGACATAGTATACATATATAGTGGCATGGTTGTATATAAACATGATGATATCCAGACAGGCAGATGAAGTCATGAACAAAGCAGGACTAGAGACTGCGATGCAGGGTGTATATACCAACATGAGCAACCCAACATGCGTGCTCCGATAACCATAGAATCAAAGAGAAGGGGTTGTGCGAGTAGTCGAGATACCCATCATCTCTAGGAAGAGCACAACGAACCATGGGATTAAGGCCATTGTACAAATAGCAAAAAGCCGCAATAGATTGATAATACTCCCATTCTGGATAACTGGGAGAAGATACCACAGACCCAGCAGGATCAAGACGAAGAAACGTACGTTCGTGTAACTCGATCCCGAGAAATTTGAGATAACAGAATCTGTTTCGCTTGGAAGATGTTAGTTTGTTATTGCGTGGTGTTTGGAACAGAACCTACGGAGCATACAACTGCAGCAGGGCCGGACGCCATTAAAATAGCAGTTGAACAGTTGCAGTCAATCCGGGAAAGGGATTGCGAGGATACATTGGCTCCAACAACTTTGGTATAAACAACAACTAGCCAATAATCTGCTCCATTGTTTCGCACTGCAGATTAGAGCATGGAGGGGGGCAAGTCATCATCGACCGAAACAAGATGTTGAATCGAATTGCAGTCACAAACAGAGGGTCATTGATGTCGATGTGTATAAAACCAGAAACTCTGCCCAGGTTATGGATGATACGAGAACAATCTGCCCCAAATTCAACTTCCGGTTCGTCTTCAATGCATATTGATAGATACACTCCGCCGAAATCAGGATAATATGCGGATCCTGCTTGAGAGAAGCAACTTTGAACTTGTATACTAAGCATAGCGTTAGTTATATCCAACAGATTGAAGGGGTAATACTGGCTATAAATAGACGGGGAGGTTGGTATTACAGGATCAACCGGACGACACTCATACCCTCGCGAGAAAGGAAAGTTAGGTTCAGCGGATTTCCGCGTACTGATAGACCAGTGTGATCATATATCCTGCAATGCCATGGAATATAGAAGATAATATATAATATACGTATGACGGGAATCAAATGGGGCAGGATAGAGCAAGCTTATATGCCAGACTCTCCAACTGGAAAATTGTCTCATTTCTAAACAAAAATGACCAACATGCATATTTCCGTTCTACTCATTCTGCTTTTGCTTTAATCACGACCGGATCTCTTTGGAGTGGTCCTTTTGGTAATTGCTTTTGTTTGACTGCTGCATAAGCTGCAGATCATGTCGTACTCGTTGAATAGTATGCAGCAATCCATCCTACTAAAAGAAGACAATTGAAAAGGTCTACGGGATATGTCTCAGGCTTGAGATGTGCAGTTACAATGGCTATTTATTCTCCTTTCTTTCATGCAGTTGATGCAGACTGCTGTGGATGTCCCAATCATGTTTGCTTTTTCTGCATTCGTTTGTACTTCCAATGTTGCTATCCGTCTTGCATGCAGGCCGGATGGAAATGATGATCATCACTGCAGGTCCGGATTATGAAAGGAAACCTGCATGAAATATCTCCGTCAAAGGAAATGGTATATCATATGCCTCCTGCTGGTGAGCATACGGGTCAGGGAGAGCAAATTGAGTCGCTGTCAGAATGCATGTCTGAGACATTGATACTACCCTCAGCTTTCAACCTGTACAGCCAGTGCTCGGTTCCTCATGGCGTATCTTGAATGGAATGGCGATGGAGTACACTCCGGATGATCCTGGGGGGCATTTGCATAAGGCCCCAAAGGTGGCTTTTTAACCAAACATCTGCCATCAACTGTCAGTAATTTATAGATAGTGGATATTTCACAACAGCAATATCTGGCTAAATATAGCCGTGCAACATGTTTATCCTAAATTCTCCGGCGGGGCAGTGATATTTGGACTGGGGCAGTGCGGGGTTGTCAATAACCGCCATGGCCATGATCATCGCAGCAGAGGCCGAGTATGCGAAGCCCTAGTGATAGTAATTGTAATTAGTAGCTTCTAGACAATCTCCAACACTTACCCCGCGCCGCGTGCTCACGTCCCATACCCAACTCCATCCATCTTCAACTCCCGTCGACAACTGCCACTCAATCTCACTCAATTCACCACAATGGACTCCGTCAAAGGCAAAGTATACACCATCACCGGCCTAGCAGGCATGGGTCTCGCCGTCGCCCGTCTCCTCCACTCCAACGGCGCCCGTCTATCCCTCGCCGACATCGACGAAACGGCCCTAACAAACGCCCTCGCAGTCCTCGGCCCAGACACCGAAAACATAATGACCACGCCCCTCGACATTGGCTCGTCTAGCGCAGTGAAAGCCTGGATCGAAGCTACGATCCAGAAATTCGGCCGACTAGACGGCGCGGCGAACATGGCGGGGACGATTGGGAAGAAACACGGCGTGGGGGCGTTGATCGACCAGGATGATGAGGAGTGGGATATGTTGATAAGGGTGAATCTCTCGGGAACGATGTATTGTCTGCGAGAGCAGATAAGGGGGATTCTGGCGACGAGTGGGACGGGGAGTATTGTCAATGCGACGAGTATTCAGGGATTGAAGGGGTTTGCATTGCATGCGGCGTATTCGACGACGAAGCATGGGGTGGTGGGATTGACGAATAGTGTTTCCAAGGAGGTTGGGCCGGCGATTCGAGTTAATGCTATTGCGCCGTAAGTGGTTATTGGTATATTGTATGTTGCTTTGCTGACTTGTTGCAGGGGAGTTATTCAGACTCCGTTGTTGGATAAGGCTGCTGCTATTCAGGGCGGATTGGGTGCACTGACAACGTCAATCCCTCGAGTCGGAACATCGAATGAAGTCGCTCAAGCGGCGTTGTTTCTGCTCAGTGACGCCTCGTCGTATACAACAGGCACGGTGTTGAACGTAGATGGTGGTTGGGAATAAACAACCTGATGTGCTGCTAAATCAAAGGGATATGATATATTCAAAAATGATAAATTCCAATTGAAATCGAAGAATGTACAATTTCCAAACGCCATTCGCTAATGGTATATCAAAAATCAAAACGCTCCGTTCTATAATGCATCCTGGTATCATCGCTCAAATGTCCCCAGCCAATATATATACCAAAGAGAAATTCGCTGTACTGGATAAATCAATGGGAGATCCAAAGAAACGCCGAGATGACTAGAAAGACCAGGATGAGTTTCAGAATGAACAGGCGTCGTTTGACGACCAACAGAATCAAGAAGCACATACACGTTATGATAAGAAGGTTGGAGCTGTAGGTCACTCGAGGGCTGGATGCGCTGTCCTTCACATCCTCTAAACTTTCCCTATATATGGGTTAGCAATGTTCAAGTCTTCCAGTCCACAGAAACATACTTTGCAACAGGCCAGCCGTCTTCATAATCGAGATAACTCCAACCCAAATGCGCTTGCTGAGAAGAAGTCAGTAGGGTGTCTATTTCCCGCTTCATAACTACTCACCTTGAATGCAAGGCCAATAGAAGTGTTCACTAAAAGCTAAGTAAGTGACTGCATCAACCAACACCAAGAAGTGCAACTTACAGTAGTGATAGTAGAGAATGTCCGGACGGCTGCCATTTGCAGGCAACACACCAGGTCCTCCAGGAGCGTAGACGACACCATGGTTCGACCCATACACGACTGTCCCACCACCCTCGGTAAGCTTTTTACCAGACTTGTCAACGAATGGTCCGCGGACATCCTTGGATCGTCCCATCTGAATCTCGTATCTGTGTACATGTTAGATACCTCAAATACCAAGAAAATAATCAAACATACTCTTGCCCGATCTTCGGAGGATTGTGTGTGTAGTCACAACATCTACCATGACTGAACCATGTGTAGTAGTACGGCTCATGGTAGCTCATGAAGCTTCCCTCCTGCGGCTTGACCTTGGGCTCAGGAAGATACGCCAGGTTCTCAGCATCCGGCTTCTCAGGATCCGCAACAGACAACAAATCATCCGTCAACGGAACCTGCCAAATACCATGCCAGTAACTCCCATACACCAGATATGGCTGCCCGGTTTTCTGGTCCGTGATGAACGACGGATCAATGGCATTGCTCTCGGTATACGGGAACACATGAGACAGCTTTCCCTTGACGGTGTTAATCAACGCGCCGTGGTCGGTCCAAGCCCCGCCTTCAATGTCATCGGTAGTCGCAATGCCGATAGAGCTATCCCGAGTACCCGTATAGCTGACGGAGTAGAAGCAGTAGAACTTGCCGTTGTGGTGGATGGCTGTGGGGGCCCATGGCCGGGTCCGGTTTACCTTGTCAATGACGCTATCTGCATCGAGGACGGTTCCGTGCTCAGTCCATGGTCCGGAGATATTCTGGGCTTTCATGATGGTGATGTGGACTCCGCCTTTGAACATGTATAGGTTGTCGTTGTATTCTAGAATGTTGGGGTCGTGGGTGATGACATTGCCTTGATTCGTGATGGGGTAATCATCTGTATCGGAAAACATCTGAGATGCTTCTGTTGAAGATACATCTGATGGTCTGACCGCGGGGACAGCGGCTGCTATGGATAGCAAGGCTGTCGCCGCGGCGAAAAGTGCGACTCGAACCATTGCGCTGATTAAAGAAAGAAGATGACTGAAGTCTCACAAAGGAGAGTGATAGAAAAAGAAACGAAATGATTAGAACATTGAAGATGCTTAATTGATGACAGCCAGGCATCAGCGGAACATTAAGTATCGCAAAAGCGCAGACGGCAGACGGTCAGACCAGCCTGAGCACAGCCTGTCTGCCACGGGGGCCACAAGAGCCGCAGCGGCAGAAAACAAAAAAAGTAAAAAAAAAATAAAAAAAACGCCTGGGGCGAAGAAAAGAAGCGAGATTGGAGCGGCATAAAAACACAGCAAAAACACAAAAATAAAAAGACAGACAGCAAAAGACAGACCGTGGCTGGGCAAAGAACAGTGGACCCCAACAATCCAACAATAGCCAGGCCAAGCTTCGTGGGTGCCTGCTTAGCGCCGGTCCCATCAGTGCCAGCACGGCACTAGTGGGGATCAACGCGGGATGGTTCAGCCTATGGCAGTGCACAGCCCCACCACACGCTCAGGGGCTGCGTGGTCCAGCCAATCACACTGCAAACTCTGTTTTGGCCCCTGGCAGATCCAGCGAAATGTATTACCCACCGATACGGTATGGTCAGATTGGGGCAGCGCATCAACACATCAGTGGGGATCAGCAGGATGCAGGATGATATGCCCATAAGAGAGATGAGCCATTAAATATTTCAATATCATTAAAGATGAATAGATGCATTGTGCATAAATCAAGAACAAGAAGTGCTATGCAATCCCAGCACTGATCAGGGGATAGCCAAGTCGTCAATTTCGTCAATCATCGATCATGACTTCATCGCTCCAGCGGTTCCACGATCAACGCCAATATGTGATGCAATGGAGATATGGTGCGACCTCGCTTGTGGATCATATCCACTGTTACTACGAACAGCATCATAGTATTGACTCCCAAGGATATAGTCGGAATATCATCAATCGATTGATACCATCATACTTCTATTTGATAGTAAAAAGTCAAATACTATTTGTAAACGCTTTGATACACAAGATAAATGATAGAAACAATCCACACGCCAAAGATACAACAGCCACCTCATTACTCCTTCATTATGAATAATTCCCGTCAGTAGTCGATAAATCACAGGACATGGCTGCAGTTAGATCAATACAGTATACAGAATAACATCAATGGACCAGCCATTCGATCATTCCTCAAATGCAAGTCCCGTCAAGTCCTCCCAGTCAAACACATCCAAGAATGGGTCGAATTCCCCAGGTGGCTGCCATCTCGTCAGTGTCACATTCATCAAGAGTCCGAGATCAACATACCGTGATGCCAAAGTTGGGTGGCTGTAAGATCCCATTAAAGCCCGGGGCCAGAGGGGGTGCCAGCCCGGTACTTGCTGCTAAGCTAGCGACCTAAATCACAGTCAGTGTAGGTCTTCATACTAATATGGAGGAAACTCACTTGGTTTGTCTTGAAACCACCCATTCCCGGATTCCCCAAATGAGCACAAGTAGCGTGTCGTGTGAAGAGTGTCTGTGCAAAGATAATCACCCGCTCAATCACCTCCTGCTTGTACACATGCGCCTGAACTGGCCACAGCTTTGCCTTCACCAATGACAGGATTGTTGACATGAAAAAATACTCCTTCGCCCCTTTGACTACCAGAAGGAGTCGCGCCTCGAGACATATCAGGATTGCTTCTACCAACCCTATCAGTGACTCGGGTAATCCGAGCAGTGTACGAGTCATAAAACTAGAAGACGCTGTGGAGACAGTTAGAATAAACGTCGACACGAGGCTGCAAGGGGCTAAACTTACCGGGCCCATCATTTCCTGCATGAAGGATCTGGCATATCGTGCACGAGGCTTGCATGATCCAGTCACCCATAACACATAATGACAGCTGTCTCGATGTCGTATGTAACCTTCGCTGTGTTGATAGAATCATGGTTGCCATTTCCAGGCGGGCTCGAGCGGAGGGAGTGAAGAGGGGTTCTTTGACAGCCTCGATAGCAAAGGGAGTATGGATGGTTAAAAGACTGTGTGCGATCTTCATTTCCAGCAAAGCTTTCATTAGAGCAACCTTGTGCTGTGTTTGGAAATCATCGGCGTCCGAGGTTGGCCACAAGGGAATATGCGCGAGTTGTCTGGTGAGCTCCCAGTCCAAGTGGAGGATTTCCTCGTAGCGGCAGCTGATTCGTGGGGAGTGCATCAGCGTACATGCCTTGATCCGCAGGGGGAGAGATTGTGCCAGAATGGTCTGGAAGGAACAGTCGGTGACTTCGTCCACTGGTCTGGATTCAGGAAGTTCGGTGGTCATTTCATTAATCTCCGCATCGTTGATGTTCAAAGCCAGTGCAGTATCGTAGTCGGACAGTTGTATGGATGGCGGCATTCCGCGGTCGAGGGCAACCTGGAGATCAAGCTCGACAATAGTGGTCCATATCCGTCTTCGCATCTCCTTGTTGAACACGGAAATTTTGGTGTACCGACTGGGGTCGCGATGGTACCCCGCCAGCATGGCCTGCTTGACCAGGGTTCCCGTCGCCAGCCAAGCCTTGCTGCGCTTCATACCAAAGGCATTCAAGGCCATAATCTGCAGAACGTAAAGACGAAGAGTCGTCACCTCGGGTCGCTTGATGTGAGCATTTTCGAGCCACTTCTCCGAATGGAGAATCCACTCCACCGCGGTGTAGCATTTTAGAGGTATGTCGTTTTTGTACTGAAGCGTATCATAATCTGCCAGATTCCACGCGCAGGCTAACACCAGTAGCAGCTGGACGACAAACGTGGGCGACGCGAGGTCCGGATTTTCTTTTAGGGCCCAGAATTCGTCAAGCTCCCTAAGAAACGAGGGCACATGGAAAATGCGATGTGTAGACTCGATGTAGGTCAGATAAAGAACGACCAGTTCGTCGACCACCGCACGGCTGGGAAGCAATCCGATCAGCGACGCCGTGTCAGGCAGCGGGAAGGGTTCATTCAACGGCTTCCTTTTCCAGAGACCTTTCTTCACTCTCTCTAGATCAGGCCGAAGCTGCGCGAGATGAGGACTGGACAGTCGGATTTCCTCTGCGAACGGCCTTATGTCGGGGAACTAGGCGGATGGTCAGCAGTTTAATAGTCGTGCGCAAAATTCCAACATACCTGTGCCATCAAGCTGGCCAAAATTCCCGCCCCGTTAAAGCGGGTCTTGGTTTCTTTCCCCCTCATCATAATCCGGGGAGCAAGGTCTAGTTGCTGCGAGGGAGAAGCAAGGCCATCCTCGGCCTCCAATTGACCGGGCGCTGCATCGTGGTTGTAATCGGTCATCCGCTTAGACCGCTGCACAAGATCCGTATTCACATAAGGCTCCTGGTTGATACCAGCCTTCGGGGCCCCCAACACCGTCTCGAGGAAATGATCTTTTTTCTTTTCCACGGGGGGCCTTTCCGACATGGACATTGTCGGCGCTTGAGGCCGAGGCGGCAGGGCCCTTATCCCCGAGTCCGGGGGCGTGTGAACGGGCGTCCGGTCACCTTGCTGCATAATTGGGACTGATCCTGTCGCTGTGGAACCTCGCTCGGAGAAGACGGTCGAAGCAACTGTATTGGGCTGCTGCCACAAGAAGCCATCCTCATAAGTGCATTTGGTGGGTGTTTTGCTCTTCAGACATCTTCCGCAGATGGGGTACTCCCTATCGCACTTCAATTTCCGGGATCTGCAGGCCTGGCACGAAGCAGTCCTTCTCTTGCGCTTGCGCTGCCGTTGAGGCTGCTCATGGTCGTCGGGAGGGGCCTGGCTCAAATTCTGCTGGTCTTCGGTCATGATTCTTGCTGTTTGAGTCGATTGTGCACCTGAGAAGGCTACCAATCCTTACATATCGTCGTCGAATATTCGGGTTGCCCCCCCCCACCCCCCTCGAGGGATCGGCGCAGACTCGGTTTTCGCTCAGGCTTACGTGTGTGCGGCGTGCGACGGCCCACCGGCCGAATTATCCGGAAACGGCAACCGACTCCGGGCTATCCGTGGTCTGATCTGGATTTTGGTTGATTGATTGTAGAGAGTCTCGATATGGTTGTTGATGGCATCGTGGTGAGGCAACAGTTGATTCAGGACTGTCGAAGCTGTTCTCAATTTCAGTTACTCGAATTTGTGCCATTCGCAGGGGAGGGCAAGACACACAGCCGGTGATGTCCGTGTGACTCCACTCACTCCACTGCGGCCTCCTTTTCTTCAGCTGATAATCTCGTGTCAATTGGGCTATAATAGGCAGGTGTTAATGCTACGGTTCGTATCGGAGAATTGACTTGCAGATTTTGATGAATGGCGGAATTGCGCGATCAACGATATAACTTAATGCTGGCGATGTCGCTGTAAGGAGGCTGGCAATATGCCAGGTGATGGAAGTTATTGATGATGTGTTTGTGGCCTATCATATGTCTAGAATATGAGCACAGGAGCATAAGAAAGGGTTCATATAATGATCAATCGAATGTTTGATTGCGTAGGGTTGTTCAAATGGAAATGACCAGTCTTCCCACGAGGTCAATCTGACCAAATTGAAAGAATCAAGAATAGAAGACAAAGGCATGTCAATAGAGTAAGAAGTGATATCTAATATTTGGGAAAAGATGATGCCATTCAATAGGGCTGATCTGTACTAACCACAGCTTCCCCGGAATATCAACTCCGAGATGACTGACTTTAAGTCTATGTAAATCCACAAGATATGATTCGATATAAACCAATTGCAGATCAAGATCGATGTACTCTATTTAAATACCAACCATGCAAGCCAAATAGAGCCATCAAATCCACATCTAACGTCTTTCGGAGCTCGGCCTCGGTGTCGGTGATAGAAGGTCGGAGATGACCTTTTTTGGCCCATAAGACGATATCAGCGTCAGGCAGCCGTGCGTATAAATGACCTCTCTACTCTCTCACCCCGAAGATAATTCTTGACTTTGAAACTACACACGGTTCCCTATTCCACAGCCGAATCGTGACTGCATCATGTTTCGGTCACTTCTCTCGTTTGGCGCAAAGCGCGACTACATCTTCCCTACAGTTGACCCGAAAGTCGATGGACCAGATTGCTTAAAAGAATGCGCGGACTGCACGGTGCATTTTCCATCCAAAGTCAAGGTTGAAACCTCCAGGCCTCTTTATGGAGGCATCGACGAAATCAACACCCATGTTCTTGTTGCTACGGGGAAATCAGACTGGAAGGAAAAGGTCGAGCATGAGCCAGGGACCTTGATGGAGGCATTCGACAAGAGATCTGCAAAGTCACGATATGGGGTATGTATTCCTGCCCAAAACCTGACGAACTGGGCTTAACTTCAGCAGCCATTAATGGTTTCTGCATCAAACCTCATACCAGCAGACCCGGATTCAGAGGAAAACAGCAGAAGGAAAGCATCGACAGTCTTGCTTCTGCCGTCATTCACATATGTCGATTCAGTAGCTCCTACGGATATCCCCGAACTGGTTGATCGCTTCATCGACGCTCCACAGTCTCAGTCTTCGGATAGCAGCAGTTATCCCAACTCCCAACTGTCATCCCGGCCATGTCAGCATGACTACGTGGTGCTTCTCTGCTCGCATAAACGACGCGACGCCCGATGCGGCATCACGGCACCTTTGATCAAGAAAGAGCTCGAAAGACATCTGCGACCTCTGGGACTCCATCGTGATGCGGACGATGACCGGCCTGGGGGTGTTGGTATCCACTTTGTCTCGCATGTCGGTGGACACAAGTTCAACGCGAATGTCTTGATTTATCGCAAACAAGACCAGCAGATGATTTGGCTAGCCAGAGTTCGACCTGAAGATTGTGAAGGAGTTGTCAAGTATACAATCCTACAGGTAAACAGCCCTCCCTAAGATCTAGAAGCCTTTGTTAACAGCAAGCAGGGCAAAGTAGTCCATCCGGAAACACAGCTCAGAGGAGGATTTGACAGACACCGTGGGTTGACGAGTTGGTAGATGCCCCATTCATTTTAGCCATCGCATTATAGCATAGCGTTTAGATTTTTTCTTTATATAATTAAATAAGATTTGACACTGAAGATAAATGAAGAACGAAGATAATCGATGTGACACGTGACGTCACGCAAACCCGCGTTAATTGATTTCGCGCACGCGCCACGAAAAGAACCAACGGCCAGCGAAGGATTACCTAGACATCTAACTCCTAGCCTGCTCCTCTCCTTCATTCCTTCCATAAACTGCATTTATACAATTATTATATCTTAATATTAACATTCTTGGATATGCAATAATGGCAACGGCTGCCGTGTCGAACAGCGCGGACTACGCGACTTTGTCTGCCAATCTCCGGGTCGAGTTGAAGGAGTGGGAGAGAGGGTTCGCGGCAGCCAACGATGGGAAGAAAGCTGAGCGGGGTGATATTAAGAAGGTTCCAGAGATTGGTATGGTTATTTTGAATATATGAATTATCTGGTAGAAATTGACACGTGCTAACCTGTCTCCTCCATTGCAGCTGCTAAATATAAAGAATATTCCCGATTAAAGGCTCTCGAAGCGAAAGGCTCACAACCTACACAACTAGAAGAGCGCCCTAAAAAACGAAAACATACATCGCCGACAGGGCCCGAAAATTCGCAGACCACATCTACACCACGAAAAGCATCCAAGAGTCTCTTCGAGACACCGTCGAAAGTACGAGCCACAAGAGCCCATCCGTCCGAAATCGATCCCTATGACTCCCCATCAGCGTTGCGGAGGCTTTTTAGCCCAAGTTCACATATGCAAAAGCCTTCGCCATTGAAGGCTGCAGTTGGACCCACACCCCAGCGGGATGGCAAGGCCCTTGGCTTGTTCGATTTACTATCCGAATCTGGCGGTAGCACTGCGACACCATCTGCGACGAGGGTGGCATCGACACGTGGAGAGGTGGCTCAAACACCCTCGAAGAAAAAGCCTATGGATACTATCGCGGAAGAGGAGGAGGAAGAGGAAAGCCCGCGAGGCGCGCGCACGCCCGCATCATCTGGGAAGAAGTACATGCTTGCGAATCTGTTCGCGACACCGACGACACTACGCTATGCCGCGATGGTGGAGGATGAAGAAACAAAAGCCGCGGAATATGAAAAACAGACAGCTGTTAATGGGGCTACCCAAGGAGGCGTGGGATCGGACACACCTTCATTCCTCCGACGTTCGAATTCAGGACGCTACGGTGGATCCAATGCTGCGCTGGATGGCTCCGGACTCAGTCCCATGGGGGTGCGAAAACGACCGCAATTTGTTGGAAAGGGACTGTCGGCTATCGTTCAAGGATTACGAGATATGGAGGAAGAACGCCTCGAAGACGATTTGGATGCACTCCGTGAAATGGAAGCGGAGGCAGAGGGCATGAACGTTGATGTGGCGGATAGCCAACCCCCGGAGAATAATACCGGTCGACCATACAAGAAGAAGGGACAAAAGAGAACCACGCGCAGGGTGCGCATGAAGCCAGTGCTCTCAAAACCTAAGCCCGAACCGCGACTAGGAGAACAGGATAGTGACGATGGCGGAGATGACGAGGAGCCCGCCGCAATTCCAGATACACAACTACCAAACATCGCCGAGGAAGATGAGGGCGGCCACGACACCGACGAAGCTTCACTTCATACCATGTCAGAGCCAGACATCGACTCTGATCCCGACTATGGCGACGAGAAACCTAAGAGCTTCTCCGAGAAGATGAAAGAGGCCATTTCGGTTTCCGGGAAGGGAAGTCAGGAGCGTCAAGAAAAGGCACCGCCACCTGCCACGAAGAAAGAAGAGACCAAGAAGGCTCCTGGTCGTCCGCGAAAGGTCAATCCCGAAGCGCATGCCAACTACCGTTCTTTGAAGATTCGAAGCAGGGGGTCCAGAGGACGAGGCGGTGCACGCTTCGGCAGGAGATAGCCTCTCGTGCGGCTTGGCTTTGGTCCTATTCATGAGCAATGATTACAGCGCAACTTATTTTCTAGAGATACCATTTGTAGCAGGAAATCACTGCGTTCTATTCTATAATACAAACATCCTCATGCATAATTCATAGCGTCATAAATATCCAAAAGTACACCTTTTAATCAGGAATGTATCGGTCTCGGGCATTTTGTACTCTTCGAGCCTGTGCTCCGCTATCCCGAGGTCTCCCTTGATATGGTCTCCGTGGGGTATACGGCTTTGAAACTCGACCACGGGATGAGTGTCTACCAGTGCCATAAACTGGAGTTGATCTACGATCGGAACCACCTGTGCCTGCGTGATCAGTAGGGGTAGTTCTAGAGGATACATCCTCATATTGAACATTGCGATCCCAGTCCTCTAAAGAATTATAAGGACTTCGAAGCCAGGCCTGCATCTCATGCAAGAACAGACGAGCATTATCTCTTCCGATGAAATCCCGCAGTAGCTCCTCTGCTTGCCCCGCACTGCCTTTCACATCAACAGTGCGAAGGATAGCAATGATATATTCCAGCAGAAATTCCGCATTATTGGCCCGACGGTTTTCCAGCCTCTGTTGTCCCGGACGAGCGACCCGGTCCTGGCGAGAATCTTCATCAGCTTCCGGATTTAGGAATGTAAAAACCCGTAGTTCCCTTCTGATCCATTTTCGTGCGCGTGAGACCAGCTCCTCGTCGCGGTTGAATTGCTCCGGGACTAGCTCACGGTATTGTGAAAGTCGATTGGAGCCAACTCGTAGAGAGTACAACTGGTGGCGATAGACGTGTCGCCGTCGCAGAAGCGGGTCATCGGGCTGTTCTTGGGGTCGCGGGCGTTGAACACGTCTCGGAGGTCGAGGTCCACGACGTATTTCGGGTCTTGTGGGAGGAGGAGCAGCTTTAGAAGCTGGAGGAGGGAGTTTATAGACTCTGGGTCCCTCTGCGCCTTCGAGGTCGTATTTCACTGAAAGAACGTCACTTTTGCCTGTTACACATGAGTTAAGAGAACCGGGTCAAGACACAGCGATCAGCATCATACAAAGCGGGCAGCTGGGGCGCTGTTCCAGCCAGCTGACAAGACAAAGAAAGTCGAAGTTGGCATGTCCGCAAGGCACTGCGATGCTTGGTTCTGTGACAGCCTCGAGACAGATGACACACGGGTTGCCCGCACTCGCATCCTCCTCCTGCGCTACCTCCTGAAGAGTCCTCTGCAGAATTTCCTGCCGAATATCGACATCCTCAGACATTCAGACCGCAACGCTAGCCAGATTGCAAAAGCCTGGGAGTTGTTTTGTGAGGGTTGACGTCCATCGGGAGAGTTGCAAAGTACCGCCGCCCAGGTCACGTTGCGATCGCCTGCCAGTTTTCGCCATGGCAAAACTCCGCGGCTGGTCGGCAGCATTCAGGGCCGGAAAACGCAACAAGAATACAGGCGGTCGTCGTCGAGGAGATGCACTAACAGCTACAGCATTTGCTTGGCCATTGCCGAATCAGTATAAAATGAGGTCTGCAAAGTCCGTGGTCTCCGAGAACTGGTATTCTCGTCCTGACGCTGCGTCTGCACCGACAAACGGGTCCCTGGATCATGACAATATGCGGCTGCCCTCACGCACCATTACGGGTCTGCGGCGGTGGTCGGTCATTAATAGGGAGCTCCCAGGTAAGATTTTCTGATTATCTTTTGTTGTTACGCGGTGAATATCGGTTTGCTAATCGTTGTCTTCTTTCTCAACAGCGGTGTCGCAGGTAAGAGCTATCCACGTTTACGACTTCGACAACACATGTAAGATCCCACCATCAGCGAGCTCCGAGCCAGCGGAATTAATATCGATAAAGTGTTCTTGAGTCCCCTCCCGAATCCGCAGTTATGGAATGGTCCGACTATTGGCTTCCTGCAAGCTTACGAGAGCTTCGCAAACGGAGGATGGTGGCACGACCCGAACCTCCTTTCAGCTACTGGGGATGGAATGGACAAGGAAGAGCTGCGAGCTTGGGACGGCTGGTGGAATGAGCAGATTGTGTGACCTACGCATGGCCCATCTCTGCTGACAGTTGGCTGATTTGTCGCAGGTCCGATTGGTGAAGCTGAGTATGCAGCAAAAGGATGCCTTGACGGTGCTCCTTACCGGTCGCAGCGAGAGTGGCTTTGGGGAGATAATCAAACGCATGGTGGACAGTAGAAAGCTGGAGTTTGACCTCGTTTGTCTCAAGCCCGAAGTTGGCCCAAACAGCGAGCGGTTCTCCTCCACCATGGTGTTCAAGCAAAGCTTTCTCGAAGACCTCGTTCTCACTTATGAGCAGGCTGACGAAATTCGGGTGTATGAGGATCGTGTGAAGCAGTAAGTTGATATCGAGTATCTGGGCGAACAAAGGGTTAACTCGTTGGTAGTGTGAAAGGCTTTCGGGATTACTTTGAGCAGCTGAACCGAAAGTTCCAGTCTGCACAGGCTTCCACCCCGAGAAGACCGATCAATGCAGAGGTGATTCAGGTAGCCGAAGGATGCACATTTCTCTCCCCTGTAATTGAAACGGCTGAGGTGCAGCGTATGATCAACTCTCATAATCGCTCTTCTCGCAACCCAGCGCTCAATGGTACCAAGTCACCATATGGTCGACTGCGTATCAAGCGCACCATTTTCTACACTGGATATCTTATCTCAAAAGCGGATTCAAACCGTTTGATCAGCCAATTGCTGAATCCAATCCTGCCCCATGGGCTTGCTGACTCCAATGACTTGAAGTACATGGCTAACAACATTCTCATCACGCCCCGTCCCGCACCCAAGTCCATCCTGGACAAGGTTGGTGGAATCGGGAAAAAGCTAAGCTGGCAGGTTACTGGCACTGCTGTGTTTGAGAACCGGGTTTGGGCGGCTCGTTTATCTCCTATTCCTGCGAATGAAAAGTTCTACACAGAGAACCCACAGCCCGTGGTAGTTTTGGCTGTGCGCAAGGGCGCCCGTCCCATTGATGCAGGCAAAATCCAAAACTGGCATCCTGTCCCTGCTGATAAGGCATTGTCTTTTGAGACAGTCGTTGGCGAGAAAGTTGTCTTGCGCGTTGAAGAAGAGAATCCCAATGAAGGCGAATGGGAAAGCCAGTTCTTGAACAAGAACAACAAGAGGCGTCATCAACAAGAACGTGATGAAGACATTCTGTACCCACAAGGTCAAAACGGCCAAAACGGTCAAGACGGCCAAAACGGTCAAGACGGCCAAAACGGTCAAGACGGCCCCCCTCAAGGTCGACCACACCCCTACTCCCACCCACGCCATGGAAATGGCCACCATCATCACGACGATGGACCTCGTCGTGGATCCTATCGTGGGCGTGGCCGTGGAAATGGTCGAGGACGAGGACATTCCAACCGCGGAGGGCGTGGGAGAGGCCGTGGCCGCGATGCTGGTCCTCCCCCAGGTTATAGATCACTGGACGATTATGGTGGTTATGAAGGAGCATACGAAGAAAAGCAAGGCTCAGGTGGCGGTGCGCCTGTGATGAATTATTAAGTTCTGATTCATATTCCAATCACCGATTGTCATGATACACTTGTCTTATGACTGTTTTGATGGGTTCGGTTTTTGCATCTGAATATGGCGTGTATGAGTATGGGGTTGCGACCACTGGTTTTTTCTGTTCAGATTATTGATGGGTTCCAGTTCATTTCTACTATAAAAGCAGACGTACGAATTCTCCTATTTTTACCTTCTAACATGGATTTGAAGTGGTGTAATGGTTAGCATCCTCACGCTATTAACTAGCTAGAATAAAAATTAAAGATTATGCTTGACAGTGACTGGTGCAATCCCCAATAAATCAGTGATAAACTCGGTCGTGATGGGCTGAAAATCCTGGAATCGATATAAAACGATGCCATCCGGCCGCACCAACACGGCGCCGTCTTCTCCCACTCCGTTCAACTTCTTCCACTCCTCGATAATTGCATCGTCCCAAAGATTGACCATTGTCCTTACGATTGCAACGCTCACCAAACTGCTTTCTACCGTGGCCCATGTCTCATTTGCAGCAGCGAGTAAGAGAAACCGCTCTCTCATCAGCAGATCTCGCGTTGAAAATGCCTCGCTCCATTGCCTGAGCCAGACATGGGGGAGATGATGGCCTGGGATGGCCGAGGGATGGTAATTGACCACGTCGAACGCTCCGTTTTCTTTCAACTGTCCTCCATGACGGCTCTCTGCTCCTTCATCTTTCACATCTAAACTGGGATAGAACCAGCCGACTTCTGCTCCCGGGGCGTGGAACTCGCTGTCGAGAACAGCCTGTGCTTTGACGACTGCATCTCGCAGATGGTCGCCCTGGGGGTTGGTCTTGTCGAGAAATGCTTTTAACGATTTATCGTTGTCTTCTGGGCGAGCATCGGGTAGTATTCCCAGAGCCCGGTCCATGGCTAAACCGTGAGAGCGAAGGTTGGTCAAACTCGTCCGCGCAACTTGCTGGGCGATCGGCTGACGTTCTTTCTCGTATGTGTCTAGCAGTTTGTCGTACGCCGCGTCTTTATCAGAGTACCGTTTCTTGATGACCATGGACAGTTTCCAGACTAGATTCTGCACGTCTTGTATACCAGTGTTCAAGCCTAGAGCGCCCCAGGGCGGAATGCGATGGGCTGCGTCTCCGACGAGGAATATCCGGCCACCTTGGCTTCGAAATCGTTCTGCAACGATAGCGGTCACTTGCCAGTGACTGATACTTTTGATCTCTACTTTCAGACCAGGGATTTTCAGCGTCCGATGAAGACGTTCGATCATGGCTTTCTCGTCAAATTTCCGAGATTCGCTGGGTGATAAAGCACATGCGAACATCCACTCCTCTGCCTCCTCTGTCTGGTATGGTCCGAGATGGTATAGAAAGCCGGTGTTTATGCTTCCTCCCATTTTCGGATCGACGAACCAGGTGATGAGTGCATGCGGGTTAGGATGATGCTCGCTGATCGGCGCTTGGATATAAGCTGAGACCATGTCGACGAAATCCCGATCACCATGAGCCTTGATCCCCAGAGCATCGGCAACCATACGTCCCCCATCAGCGGCCACGACATACCGTGCTTGATACGTTCTGAGAACACCTGGGTCGTTGTCACGTTCAACATATAAAACGACATAATCTGGTTTCTCTTCCACTCTGACCACTCTTGCATTATTCACGATCCCGGATGGATTCAGCAGCTTGGCTTGTCGATGGAGGATCGGCTCTAGCCGAATCTGAGGTAACATCGTGTACCGACACGGACTCGCACGAGCATATTCCTCTGCATATTGACCCCCTCCCCACGCATCGCGCGACAGAATCTCCTTTCCCTCCGGGCCAAGACTGGTATACCATGCTGTCTGCGAAACTGACTCAGGTGGAGCAGCCGCTTTTCGAATCTCCTCTTCAAGACCCAGAGAGCGCAGGTATTCGACCGTCCGCTGGTTTAGACCGAGGGCTTTGGGGTGAATCGATGTCGACTCGTGCTTTTCGAATAGAATGTGGGGTATGTTATTTTTCGAGAGGGCAATTGACATTATGAGACCGACAGGGCCTCCACCAATGATGGCGACTGGATGCATGCTACGTGTGCGTTTGGAAGCTTCCTCTTCTAGACGGGTTCATATAATGAGACGCAGTGGATTGAACTATAAGCTATGGTAGGGAGGATGGCTATTATATATCATATCCTTGTGTCCAGCTCATCTACTGAACAACAAACATGCATATGATAAGACAAGGCTCCATGCAAGCCCCACGAAATTCGGAAATTCCGCATTGTCCATCCAGCGCATCTCGTGGGGTTCAGTGAACATGTCATTTCTCCATACAGCACCACACCTCTCCTCCTCCTTCTCCACATGTTCCTTTTTGATTCTCCATGCTCTTACGCAAGTTGATTATTCGTGCCTTGAACCATGGTTCGGATTTGCATTGAAAAATAAATCTAGGCCATGCAAGACACACCAATCCACTTCCACAACCAGGCTAAGCTCTGTGTAACTTGTCGCTGGTGCCCAGCAGCAGTCGCCCAACTTCCAATGGTTGCAGTTGTGGTGCGCGTCGTGTAAATTTCATCCGCGAGCCCGCCACTGTCGTCGTTCAAATTGAAGAATTCGACATTGGGAACCGAAGTGAAAACGGGACATTGCTCATAGTGCCTGCGATTTGCGCTACTGCAGTATCGAGGAGGATGCTCCGGCAAGCAACCCCTTGTACTCGTGGCCGAGTTCTTCAATGAAAGCTCGCAGCATCTTCTTCGCTATATACCTTTTGGGCGTTCCTGAGTAGGGAATTCCAAGCTCAACTTGCGGAGTGAAACTGGTCCTCCTAATCATGCAAGGAGACCAAGCGATGCTCTTGAGCCCGTATACGACTGAATAGCTCTCTTGTCTGATCTGCCTGTTCCCGTAACACCGGGCTTCCTCCAAACTCCGCCAGAGAGATCTGGCGCTGGACATGGCTTCGCCGGAGTATCGACTTCTCCACACCATAAGCTTGGGATCAGAATGTCGCGTTGAATGAGCCATATGCCTTCAGCTTCTCTCGTGCCGACTTCGACTCTCTATCCAGCCTGTCTTTGTCGAGGTTTAGCTCGTCAAGAGCACTTTGCCGAGGAATCATGTATGTACTTGATATTCCATGGACAGGAAATATGCATTCCACATTCCATGGCCTTGAATCGTGGTGACAATAGAATTGCTTTGTGTTCGATTAGCTTCCAGGAGGGCTTGATCTCAGATAAATCCCCTGCAATTTGTGGCAGTGCTTTGATGGTGTTATTCTTCCTGCCAGCAAGAGAATAAATGTGTCTGAAACAAGATAAAAATCTTCTGTTTCTGGGTTTGCCCCAGCCGGGAGATCCTCGACAACTCCTGGAGCGTTGAAAGGTTTAGCTCCATCATAAGGATGTGAGCACACCGGTGAGAAGTAAATGTGGGCGGCCATCTCGAGGGTCTTCCCTAACCCACACTCTGTGCATATTGATGCACCATCTGTGCCTGAGTTTTCTCCACATCCGCAGGCAAGATAAATTCATCAAGCAGTGGTGAGAACGATAGATGGGACAATAGCCGTAGGATCCCCATATCCATATGGCCTGCATCGTGTCCCTCGTTTTTTGTACCGCGGTTCGGCCAAAAGATCCACATATCGACTGTCATGCACCTCAAGGAGCCCTTTTGATAGTTGGATGTCTATGGTCATGATCCGCATTGGCGGAATTTCGGACCCGATGCGGTTGTAACATCGTCTGATAGCTTGATCAAATCTCCCATGGATCTCTGAAGGGCAATCATTTTCATGATTTTTGGTAACAGACGATACCCTTGCTCAGCAGTCAAATGACCGCTCTTTGCATCCTGCGTCAGTTTCTTAGGCGTTAATAAGCTGAAGTCTGCTCTTTCAGATGATTCTGTTTCGTCGGACTCGACATTCCCATATGCCATCGACAGCTTCTGGAAAAGATTTAATGGGCCGCATATATCGATGGCTCTGTTCAAAAGGGGTGTCGCGCTTATAATCCAGTCGTTGGGTGCTTCCAACAGTAAGACTGACTGGTGCCAACGGGTCGATATGCGTTTATGAAATGGCCCTCATCGCACACCACACGTCGAAAACATCAACAAAATGAATACTTTCTGCTTTTGCTTTTGTCCCAGTTGGGAAATCCGTAACAGCTGGAACATGGTTGAGGGGTTGAGGCGGACTCTATTATAATGATGTTTGCTCATTGGTGATGCAGGTTGAGTCCCAAGCCACCACATTGGAATGTGGTCAACATCACCCGGCAATGGTTGCCTGCTCTTCGTCTGCCGTTGTTGACCGAATTGTCACATACCCGAGGAAAAATACCTCTAGAAAAAGGTCATAGTCGTCGCAATATCAGAGTCTTGACTCCGACGCTGTCTGCATCTATCTGCATACGCATTGCGGATGACTGCCCCCGCAGCATTTTTGTATGTGATGATAAACTATAACGCAGTCAGTATCAGAACAAGAACTCAGATAGATCACCATACCCGAAAATACAAATTGTGTGCCGAAGCATACGCCTCACAACGATTATCGCGCGAGACGCCGGCAAGGCGACCCGAACAATGCAGCCCAGGGTGTCTAGATGACTGACTGTTGAAAAAGTGCTTGCTTATGACACATATCACCGAATCTTCATTCCCATTCTTAAATGCTTGGAATGGCGTTGAAACCCCAGGCTTCGACGAGAATTCGTCTTCATTCGCATCTTATTCGGTCCATCTGATATGTAGTCTGGAACCCAGATTGATATACTTCTGCATGCTCGAGCTGGCAATCTAGCTTGACGATCAGCTTTCGCCCAAGCCACATGTGATACCATAAAGTATCTGAAATAATTACCATGGAAGGTGTATTTAGTAGAATGTCACTTGTAACTCACCTTTCTTTGGCGTGCTACTTGTCCACGCAATCCAGTATAAACGCCACCATCTGCATTCCCATCTGCATGCAGGTCTTTTGTCTATTCCATTTTCGATAGGATTATATCTCAACAAAACAAGGCCCGCAGGGAAGCGACCAGGAAGGATTTGTCGTTTTAGGATCGGTATCCTGAGTTGGTTTTTTGGGGCTTTGTGGACGGTGTATGGGAGTGCCAAATGGTTATTGGGTTGGTGATCCTGGGAGCATAAACCGGTTATCAGCATGGTCTTGCTATACGATGCGTTCAATGGAGGTGGGCGAACGAACCAAAGACAATCACACGTTGGACCTTGGATCCAGATCCCATGATCATAAACTCTTTGTCAATGTCACGCTGCGAATGCAAAGAAACCAGAAGATATTGAGTCATTAGAAGTATGAGGGGAAAATACAAGAGATGGAGGGAAGGAGCCACGAAGGGGTATATATAATGCAAAAACAACAGGCTGGGGAATGGATATTGTAGCATTGAATGGCCATATCCCAGCCAGATGATGTTGGTGAATTTGTTATGGTATAGTTGGTGTGAATACACAAGGGTTTGTATAGTCACTGTATACAGCTATGGGGTATTGAATACTGTAGAACTAGGATGGGCATTATGGCATCTATATAGTATTGTCTAACAAAGAGATGTCCTGCCTAGTCTATCGAACAAAGGACCGCGATTTATAGAGAGATGCCCTGTAGAATAATGATTGAATTGATAAAACGCAATGTATATACAGCCCAGCATAAACTCTCAACAAAGAACTCTATACAACGACTTCAGCATACCAGTAATTGTCATTACCGATATAGGAATCTGTCCTTGTTAATCGCCAACCACATTAGCAATTGCTCATCAACCACTAAAGAAAACTAAACTCAACAGCTCAATGATGCAGATGACTGTTAACAAGACTTTGTGCCGCACTGTTAGTTGCAACAGCCTCCTTCTTCGTCTTGGCCTTCTCAGCGCTGGTGACGATAATCGCCCGGCTGAGCAGGTTGAGGGGCTTGTGATGGTCTGCTTTGGTGAAGATGGAATGGAGATGCAAGGCGCTCAGTTCGATTTATGCGGCGATTCCATTCAGTCTCTGATACACTCTACGTCCCGCTTGAGCGATTCAGTGAATTCATCACTGAGCCGTTTAATTGATCCTTTGAGCCGGATCTGCGGAATAAGAATCTCAACTGTCCTGCGCCGGCCTTTATAAGGATTGCCGTGCCCGAGGCGCTATTTCACAATGAAGCGAACTAGCTGGCTGGGTTTTTTGACTAGTATTGGAGTCTGGAAACGCTGTTTCTTGTTGTTAATGCGGAGCAGGCTGAGGTCTGGCCTGTTTTTATCACGAGGAAATGAATCTTATATTGTCGATAGTTCCGTTTCTAATAAGATACATAATCTAACACGTCTTATAACTATCGAATATCTCGATCAATAATCCGGGCTCCAAAGAGACACTTCTCATCTTGGAACCGCGGTGCGATTACTTGAATCGAGCATGGCGCTCCGTCTACCGCCGCTGGGTCATCTACACATGTCAGCTAACGCGATAAAATGGTATAGGAAGAAACCTACAGCTCGGCTGTACGCCATCTTCGATAATCATAGGGGTTGGATCGAGTTCCTTGGAGGACATTCCGTACGGGATTGCGCAGGCAGGATACTATCATCAATTAGTAAATGCCCAGTTTTCGGGGGATGGTTGGCTTACATCCAACAAATTCCACAACAACGTATACGGTGGCCAGCCATAGGTGTCATGTGGAACTGCTGTATTCTGTGCAGAAGGAGCCAAGATCAAATCGAGCTTATTCTCAACCCAGACCTTGCGCCAGCTATCAGTATATTGGTGTCGAATTTTGTGCAATGCGTCGATTTTCTCCACTATATCCAGCTCTTGGGATACGGGGAATGGACCTGTAAACATCGGTGAGGAGGATTTGGCGACTGATTCCACCATTGGTTCTCCGCTAGGGGTGATATTGTCGACATGAGGACCGTAGACGAAATATTGGAAACCAAGACGGTTGGCAAATGCAATATCTCTGTCGGGGTCATGTTTCAGTCGGACCACATTATGCCCTTTTGCTGCCAAAGCTTTGACTGCTGACTCTAAAGCCCGAGCGACAGGTGGATGGAGTGGTAGTTGAGGGTTTTGCTCGAGAACGCCGATGGTCAATCGTGGTTCATCTATATTAGCAAGAGACTTGTTCCATGGAACTCCAACGGCAGTCACATCGTGTTTCCACGGTTCAGCATCAAGGACAGTCGACATGAATAGTTCTATATCATCCAGACTGTGTGCCAATGGTCCTGCCGAAGGCTTCAATCCTGGTAGACTCTCCATGCCTCCAGATACCTGGCCGCCAAAAGGAACTCGGTCAGCCGTTGGCTTGAAGCCATAAACACCACAACAAAGAGCAGGTATGCGAATTGAGCCAGCTACATCTGTGCCCACGCCTAGGATAGATCCTCTGAAGGCAGTCAAGGCGCCTTCACCACCGCTAGACCCGCCAGCTGTAAGGCTTGTATTGTGCGGGTTCAACGTGCGTCCGTAGATGTTGTTTTCCGAGTCGCCAGTCTGTCAGTCAGCCAAAGTCTCTGATTGTGTAATTCGGACATACCATCATGGTTTGCGGAATATTTGTCTTGACATAAAGCACAGCACCAAGATCCAGCAGCATGTCAACCAGAGCTGAATTCGATTTTGCTGGGGGATGTTCCAGAAACGAGACATATCCAACTGTAGTCTGAACGCCTTCAAGACAGAAACTATCCTTGATGCTGATAGGAAGACCATGAAGAGGACCTAATGGCTTTCCTTCACGTTGCAGATAACCGTCAAGGTATTGCGCTCTTTCGAGGGCGCGAGGAAAGAAATGCTCTGTCAAGCATGATGTCTGTCAATTAGCAATGGCATCAATCCAAATGGCCGTATAACTCACCAATTGCTGCGCAATAGCAGCCCTCTTACAAAAAGCCGTCGTCACAGCCAACGAGGTCAGATTTCCCGCTGCGAGTTTCTGAAGCAGTTGACCAGCCGAGTAATTCTCCGTAATATCCAGCTCGGTAACAGACAAAAGTCCACATTTCCGAGGAATGTCAGCTTCGATCAGGCGGACTCCTTTTGGAGATGAAACAGGTAGGGATTGCAGTAATTCATCGCTGAGTCGCCATTCGGACGGGATGGCGTCTTGGAGTTGTTTTTGTTTGTTGGCGACCAATTCGCGCCAGTCTGGTTTGGTAGGTGCGTCGCCCATTTTCTCTGAGTGTGAAGAATATGCCAGTTGAACGCAAGAGATGCAGATCTGAAGATCAATTTATAGGATATGTTTGTGTGTGACTGACGTGAGATGAGGGGGCCTAATTGCGTCCACCTTCCCATTTGGGTTAGTGATCAACACTACACCATGTCTTCTATCTCAACAGTCCATCTTCATCTTCATCTTCATCTACCTCAAACAATAAATAATACATCACCTCGTCATCATAACACTCTCCGGCCTTCCCAAAAATTCGTCAAATAATAAGCATCAATAATAATCCTATTCTGCTCACAGCTCATCACACCCACACACACCAGCCATTCAACCAATTATACCTCCTAGCCCCTGTCTCAATATGCAAATGCGTGAAGAACTCAACATAATCTAGTGTAGCCGTAGGATGAGGTCGTTGTATAGGATCCGCAGCGACTTGTTTCGCGTATTTGGTGCCAGGACCAGGTCGGTAGAGGCCGTGAGCGCGGACGTAGAGATACCTGCCGTCGGTGGTTTTGATTGTGTATCGGGCGTTAAGGGCCATGGACTGTATATTTTAGATTTATCTGTAGATAGATTTGATAGAGGAATATGCGCATATGAGTCCCTCAATGACAGTGGCCCAATCTGCTCCTCCGAGGGGGAGAACTGTTCCTTCGAGATCGGGGCCTTTGAAGGTTCCCCCTGTGATATTGGCTGCGATGTATTCCAGTACCGTGGGGTGCTCCGATGACAATTTCCTCATGAGGCAATGCTGCATTAGAGATGGTAGAGAAGGGAGGGTGGGTTGGCGCATTGGAGGGCTGTTGGGATAAGACGCATTGCGGGGGAATTGTTTGTTGCCATTGCGAGTGATGCAGTGATTCTAGATAGATGGACATAGAAAATACAAGTGATGGCAGATTATATATTCATATCGACTTGTCGAAACAGGCAGCTCGACCCTCACTCATAATCAAATACAGGATCCAATTTGTAGTCTATCCAACAGAATTACTCCTGCCCTAGCTCTTCGACAAAAGCACATAGCATGTTCTTTGCCATAGTTCTTCCAGGCTTCCATGATATTCATGTCTAGTACAACCAAACTCATTCTCATCCGGAGATAGAGTGAATAGCATCAATATGAATGAATCAGGCAACAGAATTGTTCATATCATCGAATATCAACTTGTTACTCATAATAAACCCCCTGATCCAGCTCAAGAACAGTCCGATCCGGCCACAGCATACAAACCGCCTCTTTCACTCTCAAAACCTGCCCTTCATCAACGACAATCCCATCTCGATATAACAACTGAATCTGATCAATCACCCAATATCTGCATCCAACTCCATCCGAATCAAACTCATACTTGTGCCGACCATTCTCAACAAGCCTATCATAAACATCCCCAACAGTCAATCCAGCTCTAATATCTAGATAAAACCTTGCCTCTCCCTGAGCAGTGCTTGGCACTTCACAATCGAGCTCCGAGATGATGATATTCGCCTTGGACCCCCCTGGTAGATGGATACTGGGAATAGAGTAGCTGGGCTGGCAGTCGAGTTGGACGGAATGGCCAGGCGATGTGAGGATATAGAAACACCAGTGGTTGGTGGGGGTGGTTTTATCTTGGATCTTTTCGTGGGCGGCAGCGATGATCTTTTGGACGGGGAGGGCGAGGATCTGGGATTGGTGGTGTTTGGGGATGAAGTAGGTTATTTGGAACATTTTGATAGATTATTGTCTTCGAGCGGGTGAAGATGAAGCTGTTATCCTGTGCGGATTTGCAGATGTACTGTGTTGCATTGCATAAGTTAGATGGCGTTGAGTCATTCAGTAAGCGCCAATCATTGGCAGGAATTACTGTCCAACAAAATAGTGGGCTCATCCTATGATGCAGCCAAAATAATGCAATACTATATTTCATATCAGTAAAATATTCAGATATGATATCCGCATGGACCTGTCTGTAACGGCAACTCGACCCTAATCAATGTTTCAATCATCACACGATCTAGATAATACCCAACGAGGCAGGTAGACCCCTTCATCATGACCATATAGATCTCATCACCACCACTATACATCACCAAAGATAACACATCCAACTTCACAAAATGTCCTTCGTCCAAGTCCTCCTCTCCAACCCTGCCCTCTCACCCCAGGAACGACAGGCAGCTCTCGACCGCATCTTTTCCGATCCTGGCATTCCCGATGCAAACCGTACCACGTCTTCGTTCTGGCTGCGACATCCTCATCCTGAACTTGCCGGGATTCGCTCATCATCTCTCCCTGCCGAGGCAGATGTGGTGATTATCGGTTCAGGGATCACCGGTGCGTCTGTTGCTAAAGCGCTTCTGGAATGTACCGCCCAAGATAAACCTCGGGTCGTCGTTCTAGAAGCACGGGATATCTGCAGTGGTGCTACCGGGCGAAATGGTGGACATGCGCTTGAGACTGCGGAAGAGTTTGCGGATCTGGAAGAGAGAATCGGTCTGGAATCAGCGAGGAAAGTAATGAGATTCAAATTGGCGCATTTGAATGAGTTTATCCAGGTAGCGGAGGAGTATGGATTGACGGAGGAAGCACAAGTGAGAAAGGTCGAGTTTCTGAGTACGTATTTTGATGAGATGAGATGGATGGAAGCGAAGGGTGCCATAAGCCGGTTCAAAGAGTGCATGCCGGAGGAATCAAGAGAATGGAAGATTCTAGAGAAAGACGATATACCCACGGTTAGTTCAGCCATCTCAATATTCTCTCTTACTTACCTCCCAGGAATTCCATCTCCCACACGCATACGGCATCATATCCGGCCCAGCAGGCGCCCTCTGGCCCTACAAATACATCACCGGCATATTCGCCCATCTCCAGCATCAATTTCCCAACAACCTCTCCATCGAGACCAACACGCCCGTCACAGACATCACCAAAACCTCCAATCCCACCCATCCCTACACACTCACCACCCCCCGAGGCGCAATTCGCACCCGCCACATCATCCACTGCACGAATGCCCACGCAGCCCGCCTCATCCCCGACCTCAAAGGCCGCATATACCCAATCCGCGGGCAAATGTCCGCTCAAACCCCCGGATCGAAGTTCCCCTTCCAAGGAAGTCATCATTCCTGGATCTTCAACTATGAAAAAGGCTTCGATTATCTAACCCAACTCCCTCATTCCGCTCACTCAGCCGGCGAAATGATGCTCGGTGGCGGATTCGCACAGGGCGAAGTCTGCGGAACTGCCGATATGGGTATATCCAGCGACGATGAGCTGAGTTTGTACGCTGATATCCATCTCTCCGGGGCGTTGGGCGCTGTCTTTGGGAGGGAGAATTGGGGTGAGGTGGCTGGATCAGCGGTGAAGATGATGTGGACGGGGAATATGGGATTCAGTGCGGATGGGTTACCTTGGGTTGGACGGTTGACGGACTTTCTGACGCGGAGAGAGGGAGGTGGAGATGCTGGTGAATGGATCTGTGCTGCGTTTTCCGGGGAGGGAATGGTGCAGGCGTGGCTTTCCGGAAAGGCATTGGCAATGATGGTGTTGGATTGTGATAAGCGTTTGGCTCTGGGGTTCTCGGCTGATCTTACTTGGTTTCCTGATGAGATGATGGTGAGTGAGAAGAGGGTTAAAGAGGCTGTTTTGCCGCGGTTTGTCGAGGGATCGAACATGCAAAGAGGAACGCATCTTTAATCTAGTATTCTGCTATTGGAATATGCTTTAAATATCAACATATCATATCATTCCAAAATATAGAAGTGAGAACCAAATAACATATAAGCATAACCCTTCTAACCAGTCAACCCTCTCATAACATCATACAGATAGCATAGAATTCATGCATATAGCCTTGGTGAGATTGATCAACCATCCATTCCCTTCGCAGCCATAATAGCATAACGAGTCGCCAACCGCGCTCTCATCCTCTTCCCAAACAAAATCATCGGGATCATAAGCCCAGTAACACCCAAACTCATGAATCCACACGTGATAAACATGTTAGCCAGTCCATTTCGCTGCATCCATGGAGATATGGCAAACGGAATGCCAATACTAAAGGCGTTGCGAAGAAAGGCCACCCCTGTGAATGCGTCGCCGGTTATCTGCAATTAAGGTAAGCAGCAGTCCAGGTCCAGTATACAGCATGCAATTGCCATGCTTACGTCTCTATAGCTGTCAATTACAAGTGTCAGTGCAGCATCGCTGATACCACCCAGCCCGAATCCAAAGAGAGCACCACCGATGCTGGGTAATATCCAATGCATTCCCTGGAAATATCAATATCAGCATTCTCTTTGGTAGGCAAAAGCACTCACCTTGGAGAGAGTCACGCCAAACATTATTATACCTCCACACATGGTCAATGCAGGAAGATGAAGAATGTACAGACGCATCTCTGGCTCATAGAATCCCTTATTGCGGCGGGCGTAGTTGAGAATCGATCGATCACCAATATACCCACCATAGATTGACCCAAGCAAGTTGCCAATAAAAGGTCCAACACTCATGTACCCAACCTGCTCAGATGTGAAGCTATATGGGGGCAAAGGAAGTACCAATGCCAAAACATTTGATAGGATGGTCAGCCAAACAACACCAGCAGCGTATTGCAACGCCGAAAATAGGACAGCAGGGAAAGTGAAAAGAATAATGAATGGTCGATAATATGACGGCCAGACCGACCCCGGAGTATATGTGATAAATGCCAGTCTCTCCCTCAACGGTTTCATCGGAATATTGTGATCAATTTCGTGATACTCTGCGCTGGCTTCAACGGTGCACTCCGGAGCTTTCAGATCATTTTTGCTGTCGTCTTTAGAGTCATCGGTTCCGGCATTCGGATTACTACTTTCCGGTTCATCAGCTGCTTCACCTTCAACTACCTTGGTATATTTGGTCTCTTCGTAAAAGACTAAGAAGAGGGCAAAAATGACTGCATTCGCAATTCCCAGGGTACGGTAGGACCAGCGCCAGCTCTGTCGGGTCGCTTGAGTTCCAGCAGCCATTGGAGTGAGGAAGGTCTATAGCATGGTTAAATCACATTTGGGCGATTGAATCACAATACCTACCCCAATCATGACCATAGTCATGTACAGACCGTTCATGCCACCTCGGTGATGGACGAAAAATAGATCGGCAATCTGCTCAACCAAGAATCAAAATCACATCACTCGTACAGATAAATCTGCCATCGTACCGTGATCTGAACAATGGACTCGTTTGTTGCTCCAGCCAATCCCTGAAGTAAATTGGTGATATAAAGCTCACTCAGACTATGAATCCCTGCTGACCAAAATGATGTCGCCAGCATAATAGCGGTGGATATCAAGTATATCGGTCGTCTGCCATACTTCTTCGCCAGAGGAACGAAGAAAACACAGCCCATGGCCAAACCAACATAGTTAACACTCATGGCTCGATTGAGCTGGGTATACGTCACGCCCAGATCGATCACCATCAATTGCCAAAATATGGATTGAATTGAGAGCCTGAACGATAATCCATAAATTAGCTTATGGTTCAGTTTCCATAAATAGTACAACTCACGCAGTAAAAATCAGACATGTTACTGCAAGTACGAGAGTAAAATTGCATGCCTTCCGCATAGTACTCCAGTTCTACTCTAAGTCAGCATTGTGCAGTTACACAAGATCCGAAACACAACCAACGGCTCGTTTGGATCTTTCGATGGGACCGGGTCCAACATGACCCCGCGTCTGCCTTGTGTTTCGTACAAGTCATCCTCTGCGGGTCGTTAGTCGGTGATACACGAAACAGGGAGTCGCTCTACCTCGAATAAGAAGAAAGGTGCCTGGTGGAACATCAGTCTGTTCATGAGGTGTACTCATATTAACCGTCTGTGTAGATAATCTATTACTTCAATTCTATGGTCAAATTTGTTCTTCCCATTTCTGAGCATCCATCGGTATCTTCATATATGATCTCGAGTTCCGTGGCCACCAATGTCGATTAATATCTTATCACGGTATAATCATTCAGACAATCATCCTTAATGCAGAACACGCGACCCACTAAACTCGCGTTCTCAAAACGCGGGGGATGATCACATCAAGCCGATGATTCGTGTCGCGAAGACGTTGGTGTGGCACCAAAACGCTTATCAGTATCGGTGCGTCCACCTGCTGTAAGAGGAAAAGGGGTTTACAGACGACAAGATTTGACAATTTCCAATCTCGAACCTTTCCTTCTGGCAGGTCGACCCATGACTATCAGGATGAGTAGTCGAAAAGAGGGGATACTGTCCATAGCCGAGTTCAATATCGCTCATCCCATCTTTCGTACTAATCGTAGAATCGTAGCATTCGTACCTGGCATATTTCTGTCACCTCGCTGATATTTGAAATGAACGAATTTTTGGTCAACATTTTTCAATCTTATCGCGATCTCGCGAATGTTCAATCGGACCCTTGCGGCGCGATATCAAGCAACTATGGCTGCTGCAAGATCAGTGGACATGCTTCCTGTCAGAGATAGTGGGCTCAAACCAGCTAAAAAATCTAGACACCGCTGATTCATGCTGAGACACACCAGATCCTCAATCGATTTCCCCTGCTGCTCGCACCATCAGTCTTGCTTTTTCTCAAGACCCATTGATCGAGTGGCTCCGACCCAATGCTATTCCTTGGGGTTCATTGAGTCGTGAAACATGCAAATGGCAATATCGTCGTATCCAGCAAGCTATCCTTGATGGAATTGTTCTCAGTTCTCCCCCTTTGAAACAAATGGTAGAGGTCTTTCCACCTCGGGCCAAATCTCTGGTGGCGGCGGTAGAAGAACCATTGTCTCAAACAGCAAACGAAGAGAGCCTGGATGCAGGAATTGCCATGTTATTATTCCCTCCACAAAGTTGTGCTAAATGGACCATTAAACGGATCCTCCTGGCATGTAAATTATGGGCATTGGATTTTCTCGATCCAGCGACGGACAGCGAAACGTGTGAAAGGGTATGCTCTAGCGCAGTGAGATGTATTGAAACTATTTCCTGAAGCTGATATTGTATTGAATAGCGAGTCGATACTCTTCTTACGTCACATGACATAATGATGGACGAGATTCGAGCTCGCTATGCGGTTGACGATGTCTGGTATCTCGAAGTCCTTGCGGTGCACCCTTTGCTCCAGTCTCGGGGAATGGGTAGTAAATCGATGCAATGGCTGTTGGAATATGTTGATAACAGTCCTATTTTCCTTGAATGCACTTCAGAAAGGAATGTTAAATTCTATGAGCGGTGGGGGTTCGAGGTGGTTGAAGAGGTTGAGTTGGGAGAGGAAGAGAGGGTCACGCTTTGGGTCATGCTTCGACCAACACAGCCTTAGCTTAGAACACCCACAAATCCAGTAGAAAAATCTTCTCTTTCATTCTCATATATTAACTCTATCAACTAACATTCACTGCTATAATCTCACAACAATCCAAGCTCTGTTCCCCGCGCCTTTGCCAGTTCGTCCACATCCACCCTTTCATCGTTTCGTTTCCATGCTTCCTCCAGTATTTCCAGCAAAAGCCGATCCTCAAAGCCATACTCGCTTCTCAAGTGGCTCGACATGAAGCAACTCCTAATCAATTCCTTCCACTCCGCGTTTGAGTTGATAATCATCACCTCTAGACCCGCTACAAACACCGGGTAATTGATCGCATTCATGATGAGTGTGTCTTGTTGTTCAGAGTCATCAGACGCCCTACGGATAGCATCGATGCTACTAAGAATCTGGGAAACAAGTATTGCCGTCTTTGGGAGTGTCATTTGGGACTCGTATGAGTTGGCACTTGATCGACTTCGCAAGGTCAAGATTCCAGCTAGTTTGTACGCTTGCCACAGTTGCATCTGGCCGAAGCTCCCCTCTGCGCCCAACCAGTTCCAAAAATCTTCCTCTTTAGTGCCTTCTCCAATACCGGAGAAAATATCGAGGAGGGATCGTGGGAGTCCACTGACGACTTCAACCTGGCTGCGGTCAGAATGTTGCTCTCCAGCCCAGGTGTTGCTGCGGCAGTAGCGTCTCCATATTCCAAGGCATGGATTCTGTCGCCCAACTGCAAAGGTTGGAAGATCCATCACTCCCATTACTTCGATCAGATGCGTTCGAAATGAAGTTCGTTCGCCAGGAGGATGGTCAAAGCCATAAATCTGTAAGATGTTGTACATCCCTTGGATATGCATTGTCCATGGCAAGCCATGCATGAACTAAAGATTGTCAGGTCAGACAATACTTTTTCTAAATATAAGGCTGAGACTTACACCAATGCTACAGAGAAGTAGTCCAGCTGTTAACGTGGCGTCCTCCAGGCATGAAACGCTGTTGGCCAGCTCAATGCGGAACATGCTCAATGCTGCATCAAAATACTCGAAGAACCGTGATTTGATATCTTTGGACAATGACGCTTGAAATGCAAGGCATATTGAATACAGCGCCTCGGACTTTTGACACAGCTCTGGAAGATGGGAAGGCAGGACATTATCACCATCATCGACTGTGGTTGAGTGCAGGATGTTGACGCCTGATGTCAAGACTATACCAAGTCAGTATATCTCGAACAGGATTTCAACATTGACATACACTCGTTGAAAAGGCGTTCGTCTTCTAATGCATTCAAATGACCTTTTCCGTGGGCCACCTGTGTCTGGCAATCTGGGGAAATGGAAGCATCGATCATGGGGTCATGAGAATCTACACTCGAGCATCAGATCAGATACAGATCGAGAACTTGAAAGCGGGTACCACCATTCCCCGCAACACCATCATGCTCCACAACACTTTGTTTGCGTTTCTTCTCCAAATCTCGCTGTCGGCCCTTTGGTCTGGCCGAGACACACTCGCCAACCGGTTTATCGGCACCAGTAAACCGTCCTCTCGATGCAATCCCAGAGCCCCAGCGCAGGCGCACCTCGTAGCCCTCACATGGTACTCCGCGTTGGTGGCAGTTCTGGCATGTCGGACGACCGTTATCGCATTTCCGCCGTCTCTTCTTGCACGTCCAGCATCCTTCATGAGACCGTTGTCGTGGGGTCAACATACTTGTTTTGAAAGTGTGGTTTCATTTTAATTGAGGGATATTGGTAGTCATTGCGGAGGTTGACACGATTAAGGCAATTGATGCGCGATGGATAATCCCTCGTATCTCTAAATTGAGGGGAACTCTTGTGCGTCCACCTGCCGTTCTCAGCCTAGTGTGAGGATGATCGAAGTATACAAGCACGATGATCATCACGTCCAAAGATTGAGGGAAACAAGCAGAAAAAATTAGCATGTTTCAAACACCTATTTCGAAATGCTCGACGTTCATTCATAGACTTGGCCAGCTGGATGGGTACAACAATACGCTGGAATTCCCTACGCCAAACTTTCCAAGCAATAGACACGGTCAATTCTAAATACCTCATGGGCAGATAATTACCACGATGGAACAGTATTAGGGTCAGTAGCTCTCCTGATCATTTCAAGATGTCATCTAACATGCCTCTCCTAGAAATGACTGCCCTCGCCCAATGATCGAGGGCGATGACTCCGACGATCTCGTCCCTGTTCCTCCATCACAACATTTTCCGCATCAGCCCAACGTCGACGAGCTTAAAGGCCTAGTAATGAATATTGTCATTCCAACAGCCACTATCAGCGCCAAAAGATGTCCCGTTTTTGTTTATGTGCATGGCGGCTCCCTACTCTATGGCGGTGCAAACCTCCCCATCTTTGACGCAGTCAACCTCGTCTCGCACAGTCTAAGAATCAATCAACCGATAGTATGCGTTAACTTTAATCACAGAGTCGGGCTTGGTGGTTTTCTTGCAAGCACTGCGATCAAAACAGAACTCGAGCAAGACGGGTTCCAAGGATGCGGCAACTTTGGATTCACAGATCAGCAGATCGCTTTCCAATGGGTTCAGAATTACATTTCGGATCTGGGAGGTGATCCTGATAACGTTACTCTTGTTGGGGAGTCAGCTGGTGCAATTTCGATTAGCAACCAATTGGCAGCTGTTAGTCCTCCCAAGTTCCGTCGTGCGGTTTGCATGTCTGGTTTATCCATGTCAATTCCACCTTGGACAATGGAGGAGCATGAGCAACTGTTCAGGGCAGTGTGTCACTATTTTCGAATCGATCCCATGAATGATAATGCACTTGATCTCCTGAGGAGAATTCCTCAACAGGATCTAGCAAATGCGACGCCATCGATTCAGGGAGTGGCGTCGGGAACAGGGAATCCATGCCTAGATGGGTGGTTTTATGCAAAAGACCCGTTGGCCATTCAAAAACCGCCAGAATGGCTGAAAGGGTTTATGTTGGGCGACACTTACCATGAAGGCGTCATCTTTCATTTAAACCTGCTACAGGATGACTTTGATGGGGCTCACAGGACATTCGCTAATCACATCCAGAATGACATCGAGACAAATCAGATCTTATCTGAGTACTGCATTTCGCCAGAACTCCCTCATGACATCTTACTAGAACGGGTCGAGCACATGTGCGGTGACGCCGTTTTCAAAATCCCCAACTACGCCACAGCGCTCGCTAGTGCTGATCGAGATGCACTCTTCCTGTACGATTTTGATCAGCGGTCTTGAAATCCAAATGCTTTTGAGGGAACTGCATATCACGCGCACGAGCTATTGTACCTATTCGGTAACTTGTTTAATGCATTCAATGAGGATGAACGAGCCATGGCGATGGACTTTGCGACAGCATGGATCAGATTCAGCTACGGCCAAGACCCGTGGCCTGCATCGAAAGGGCAATGGAAGATCTGGGGTCCGAATAGCACTCAAGTGATCAAAACTGAAGAAGAGGATGAACAAGTCCGGTCTTATGCACGGATGAAACGAATGTTGGCAATGGGCAATGGCGAAACATGGAAAAGGTGGTTGAGAGGAGTTGATGCATTGGTTAATAAACGGATGAACCTGGGGAAGAGTTGCCAGTTACCGTGATTACGCAGAACTCTGTCTTTTTCTCCAATGCGGTCATGTATACTTGAACCAGATCAGGAAATTGTTTTAATACGTTTGGTTGGGTTGTGATACATGCCCGTCGTGCTAATATATATCGGACAGGTAAGTGAAATAAGAGCATATCTCAACGGTTTCTTTCAAAACAACAGGACTCCGAAGTAACACATTCAACAGAATATCTTTTTTTTTAAAGTGTTCTTCGACATATACCAGTAAGTTTTTATCCGATATTACGATCCCTTGTACTGATCTATTAGGGCTATCAGTCGTGACGTCACATCTATGAGGTACCTCCGTCGAGAAGCTTTAGATTCATAATAACGAAGACGAAATAGAAGCAAAATTCGGCTGCATCTGGATCAGCAATAAAGGGAGTATTATAAATGTGATTATAATCTCGATGTCTCGCAAAACCCAACAGGACCAACGATTTATCATCCGGTTGCCACGGTCGGATATACGGAATTACGGACATGAGTCTTCTCGACGACGTCAAGACAACAGCGGAATCTTCATTGAGTTTCAAAGCCAGAAGATTTGTACCATCCGTTTATTGAGTTATATCCGTTCAATGGAAGTACTTATATCGCGCTGGATCCAGAAAATGCAATTCCTTTCCTTCTTTCCAGCATCAGTCTCCAATTGGCAGTCAATCGAAGTACGGAGTCGATTATCAGAGCTACGGATTCAATAAGGCTCTTATGATGGAGACAATTCGAGATTCAGCATTCGGGAAGCTGGTACGCATATTCAGCGGTGGGAGATGGCTGCGATATCCCGAAGAAATCGATTCATCGGTATGGACAGAATACCTAAAGACAGAGCCAGAAGCCGAGAAAGAAGAAGCTGCGACGCCCGTCAATGAAGATGAGGAAAACTGCTATGGCCTGTACACGGTCATGTCCCAGGTCTCCAGGACATCGCGTCGAATGTCGATTGCATCGACTATCCGGAACAGCAGCGAAAATGCGACAGCTGGGACAAGCGGAGGCATCGTGATTAGTTGGCGAGGTCCTGATGATAGCGAGGTTAGTGAAGTTACTGATCAAACATGACTAAAATAATCTTACTGATATGCTCTCAGAACCCCCAGAACTGGAGTATGGGAAAGAGGCTATTTGTGAGCAGCTTGATCTGGTTGCTCACCTTTGCCATCTACATTGGCTCAGCGATTTACACGCCTGGGACGATTGGCGTGACAGAGCAGTTCGGGGTGAGCCAGGTCGCTGCCACACTTGGTCTGACTCTTTTTGTCCTTGGATATGGTCTTGGTATGTCCTCAAAGAACAGCTTGCACCGACGTCGATACCATTTACTAACAACAGCATCAGGTCCGATGGTCTGGTCACCCTTATCAGAACTTCCAATGATTGGTCGCAGTCCAACCTATGTTCTCACGCTAGTTGTATTCGTCTTCTTCCAGTTTGGCGTGATCTACGCAAAGAATTTTGGGATGCTCCTGGCATTCCGCTTTCTGACTGGCTTTATTGGTTCCCCGGCTCTGGCAACCGGCGCAGCATCTATGGGGGATATCTGGAATCCCATGCTGAGAGACTACTTTATTGCCGTCTGGGGCATATTCGCCATTTCTGCGCCTGTTCTTGGACCACTGGTTGGTGGCTTTGCTGCTGCTGCCAAAGGGTGGACATGGACCATTTGGGAGTTATTATGGGTTTCTGGCTTCGCCCTTGTTCTTCTCTTCTTTTTCCTTCCTGAGACATATTCACCCAATATTCTCGCTCGACGTGCGCGCCGAGTCCGAAGGATAACCGGCAACTCGGAGTATATGTCGGAAGCTGAGATCGAGATCAAGGCAGTCAAGCCTACTGTGAGTTTTTCATCTGTATCATGGTTCAAATTCCCATCAAAGCTAACCAAGATCCCCTAACAAGGACGTTCTCTTCGAAGCCCTAATTCGTCCATTCGAATTATGCTTCCTTGAACCCATTGTCTTCCTCCTCAACCTCTACATCTCCCTCATCTATGGCATCCTCTACATCTGGTTCGAAGCCTTCCCCATAGTCTTCAGCGAAATCCACGGCTTCAACCTTGGAGAGAGCGGTCTCGCCTTCCTCGGCATCCTCATCTCCACAATCTGCCTCACCATCCCAGGCTACTTCTACTGGAAATACAAATACCAATCCAAAAAATTCGACAAAAACTGGAACATCGCGCCAGAGGAACAACTGCCCCCAGCCTGCGTCGGTGCTTTCGCCCTCCCCATCTCCCTCTTCTGGTTTGGCTGGACCGGCAACTTTGAAAGTGTGCATTGGATTGTGCCTATCATCGCCTCGATGTTTTTCGCCGTGGGTGGGTGTTTGATTTTCAATTGCATTTTCTGTTACCTGGCTCATGCGTACCCCAAGTATGCTGCTTCTGTGTTGGCGGGGAATGACTTTATGAGATCGTCGTTTGGGGCTGGGTTTCCCTTGTTTGCGACTGCTATGTTTCATAACTTGGGAGTTGGGTGGGCGTGTACGCTCTTGGGCTGTTTGACGGTGCTTTTTGTGCCGTTTCCGTTTGTTCTCTATCGTTATGGGAGGAGGATTCGTCTGGCTAGTAAATATGCCCGGCATGATATTTGAAGGCGCTTTCTTATGATATATGCGTTTGATATCCTACTATATATTTTCAACTGTAATACGGAAATAATGTTACATATGTAATCATGATTAGATCTGAAGAGATAACTTGCTTTGCATAGTGTTAAAGTTTCTATATCTTGATATTATCATTCATGAACAAATGCCGTCCCATTTCCGTTTCCCAAGCCAGCCATTCCGAATTCTCATATAACAAAAGCCCAAAGTGAAGTAGCGTAAATCAGAGGCAAAACATCAATTTTATACATAATAATGAAGCATCCACGAAAAATTTCGAATCCAACAGACTGTACAGAGGTAAAGACTGTTCATTCATGTCGTAGACAACCAGCTGTGCAGTCAGGCTAAGTTTCATGATATAGCCATCCTCGTAATTCCAAATCCCATTCTCATATTATTCGTACCGATTCGTGCCGTGAAGAAAGAAAACCAAAGGGAATCAAATGAAGAAAAAAGAAAAAACATGTCGTCCCAAATGCCGGTGAAGAAAAAAAGAAAATATATGTACCGTGAAGAGTAAGGAGCTTTACTCCTCGTCGGTCAGTTGCTTTATGAGACGGATGCTGAGTATCATGACCAGCAGTCCTATCGTTACAATAACCATTAGGACGAAGCCGAACCAACCGAGAACCATGGCGGAAGTGCCAACCCCGCTCTTGACGCTTCCATTGCCCATATCTTGTGCTATCGTACTGGCAGCTACCGATGCTGTATGTTGCCATAGTACTGATACTAAAACGAATACGGCGGCGACGAAGATAAGTGCAAGGGCGGCTTGCGACACGGGTCTCGATGGGAATGGCTTGACTTCTCGTTCGGAGCCACCAGAGTCGACTTCCTCGTGCCATCCCGGGAAAGTAGCGAGGAGAATAAAACAGAAGAAGGCAAGGATGACGGCAACAACACTGGTGAGATGTTAGTCAAGATGAAGCCCATGAGAGGAACGGATTTAAACATACAGAAGATAAGGGAAGACAACTGCATCCTTGAAGGTTGATGCAACCCAGATCAGATTCATAGGATCCTGATCGACAGTGACGACTTCAGCCAGGGCTGTGGCATTCGAGTTGCAGATAAAAGAACCGTGGTCCGGTTGGACGCAGATACCGAAGTAACCCACGCGGACCTCCATCTCTGCACCGCCAACGATATTCGATGTTGCTGTCACAACGCCAGGGTCTACCTGCGCCAGATTGAAGGTCGGGCTGTAGCGCTCATAGTACATCGAGATCAGGAAGATAGTGGGAATCTGGGGTGATGACGACGAGCATCCAGCCAATAATAGGGCTATAGACGTTAGCCACATTCCAGAGTAACACAGCGCTGGGAAGGTCGGAGAAACTCACATAGAAGAATGATGGACACTGCAATGATGACCATGAGCACGTGGTGGTACCCGATCATTGGTATGAACCCTAGATTGATCCATGTTAGTGATTTTTTCTTCAGCATGGATATCGCAAATTGAAATACATACGGGCAAACCCGTTCGCGAAGTTGATAGCCATTTCGATGTGGTTGATATGATCTTGTTTTTCTTCTCTCCTTCTCTCACTGAGCAATCAACCTCGCTTCCCGGTCCCCCGAGAAGGAGTAGTTGGGGCGTAAATTCTCAGTATCCAGGGATATCCGAGCCCCAGCGATCCGAATAATGCGAATTGAATAGGACGATCTTGAGAGTCCCAGTGACGTTAATGGCAAAGATAATCCGAGTCGCAAGTTGGATTCTTCAGATCGTTGGTATGGAATGTGGGCAAGGATCGGGACGCTTGACAGGTCGCAAAAAACGATAAGAAGGAATGTATGTATCTTCTCCACCGGCGATCGAACCTGAAGAATATAAGACTGGTCAGAGACACTAAACTCGCCTTTCTAAAGCCCCGATGTGGGCGTGAGTGGTAGCAGAGGAGTGCCAAAAAGGCCAGAAAGAGAGCAACGAAGAAGAGAAGAGGAAGGGAGAAGGGAAAAGAGATCGTAGCTGGACAATTCCACAGAACCAGTCACACTAGCTCGCTGAGTCCAAATCCTCCGTGTCAGGCTCCAATTCGTAATCGAGTAAGAAAAAAAGCGAACAAAAAAAGAACGGCAGACGATGCGCCTGGCTGACTGCTGGTGGCTGGTATGAAGGTATACAAATCGGGAGGCTGGGCCAACCGCCTTTGTTTACGTCGGCCGTTTCCCGGTAACCAGCGCCTGACCGCCTGCCGCGTCGGGCAGCTGCGCTAGCCCACATCGAACGGATCAGACCCACTGATGGCACTAGGGCCAATGGGGACTGGCGTGTTTTGGGTTAAAGTTTGCCCCACGGCTTATCATCACCTGACTTCCCCAGCCCCCGGTTTATCGATCAAAAATGGACTCAGGAACAACAACAACAGATGAATCAAGAAACAATGATGACATTGACGATCATCGCGTAGAATAATTACTATGTATGGAGAGATCCAGAGGGTCCAATTCCCCGACACTGCCAGTGACCCATCCAATGATACCTGAACAAAAAATAGTGCCGGTAACAATACCCAATGTATCCTCCCAAAAGGGGTAGTGTTTCAAAAATAAAGGGCGGTAAAAAATGCATCCAAAGAACGCCGAAGCTCCAGCTGTATTCCAATGCTTGATTATAACAAAATGTACTCCTGTGATGCGTGTTGGTTATTTTGCTGCAAAAGAGAAACGCTTGAGATTCAGCGAGATGGGCTGCGGTCGGTCACCACCGTCACTTAAGTTGCTGTCATCGTCATCCTCGCTATCGGGCACGATGAGGTCTTCGCTCCCCCCATTGGCGACCAAGTTCGGAACATTATTGTGGACGGTGTTTGTTTCAACAGAGCCTTGTTTTGACTCGCCAGATCGAGCGCCCAATCCCTTAATGGTCGGGATGTTGATCGATCGAGACCGAGACAAGGCGGTCTGCCCCAATCGCTGTAGGGGGGTCAACCGTTGACGCCTAGGTGATTGCCCCTGGGCCCCCAGTGCACGTCTGGGGGATGACGTCCTAGAGTTAAAGCCAAAACTGTGTTGTCGCTGCAGGGTTGTCGTTTGAGGACTGGACTTGTTATCGTCGCGAACCGCGCCAGCCTTAAACGTATACTTTGAAAGTAACGTAGAGTTCTGCTTGCCAATGTGGTAATCTAGTACCTGGTTAAAAACCTCAGGGTGAGACTCGTGACTCACGGACTTCTCAGGTTGCTCGTGAGAAGTAGCTAGGCCCTCCTTGGCTTCACTAGCGACTTGTGGTGTCTGTCCTGCATCCTCAGTTTTGGAGGGTGACTCGGAATCCGGCGCGGTCTCCTTCTCGTCAGCTTGACCTGCTTGACCCTTGTTTGTGGAGGTTTCGGGCGAATTTTCGGGGCCAGCGATTTGCGTCATGATGTCTTCGGCAGACTCGTCGGAGAAAACTTCCAGATTGGACTTTCGTGGCTTTTTCGTTCGATTCATTTTGTGTCCACTAGGGCTAGCTTCCTCGCCTGCGTGCGCAAAGAAACGACTGCGGCAATCAGGCTGGGTAGGTAATGCTTCATCATCGGCCTCAGAACAGAGTCGTTGCCGCTTGGTGGGCTGAAAAGTCGACATTCTGGCAGCTCGAGCCAGGAAGGAATCGCGTTCTACACTTCTCACCACCGGGCTGGAGATTCGGTGGGATTGCCCTATAGAGGATGCGGATCTTGTGGTGTTTGATCTGGTTGGGGCAGGGCTGCTCTCCCAGGAGCTGTTAGCATGGCGTTGAAGAAGTCGTTGCTGGCTGGGAGAGGGGGAGAGTGTGTTCGGATCTAGCTCCGCCAACGGCGTCCGTTTTGGAGTGAAGAACGAGTTGATGGGCTTGCTTGGTTTTAGCTCAGCAGACGAACCTAGGGTTTGTCGGCGATGCAGGCCGGGGGCCAGCTTGCTAGGTTCGAGTGGCTTCAAGACAATGGGTTCCTTTGTTGCCGGATCCAAGTCTCCCTGGGCCACAGCCACGGCAGTCACCGGGTCGACATCAGCTCCGATAAAAGGGAGTTCATCGAGCTTAATATCATTTTCAGGTGGCGTAAGGGTAACTAGCTTTCCAGCTTTAGGGCAGAATACCCTTTGATAGAGGAACGTGAGCTCTGCTTGATTGAAATTCTCCAGATAGTCGGATGGAACATGGTAATTTCCCTCGAATTGAATCATTCGCAACGCCCTTTCCACGTTCTTGTACTTTCGTATGCTCCGATATGCGGTTTTCAAGCCCATCTTTGCGATATTAGGCAAATAATCACACCCGCTAAGAATGCACATGCGTCTGAAGTCTGCATCCGTCCATCCTATCAGGCTAACCTCGCGGCATGCTGTAAAGTCGGCTCTGTTCAACTCAATGCAGTCCCCATGCTGATCGAGTTTTGATAACAACCTCTTTGCACCAAACACCAGCATATCGGAGTCTTCGGAGATTATGCCGTTGATGATACCCTCCCGCTCAAGGTAGACTAGCTGGGCATCTGCCTCGTAAGGAGCCACAACATATTGGATTTTTAACTTTTTCAACTCCTCGATGAGTTGTCGAGCCATGTACGGAGTCACATCGACAGCTTTCTGCAGCTCTTGATAGGCTTCCGCCATCCTCCCTTTTCTTTGAAGCTCTAGTCCGAGGGCTTTGCTTTGTTTGCGCCTTTCATGTCGATCGGATTCCGTGCCGGATTTGCTGGGAAGGTCATCACCATCGAACACAAGATAAGGGGTTATGCCGAAGTAGAGCAGCATGCGAACACGATTCAGCACGAAGTCGATATGTCTGCAAGAGTATTAGCCATATTCAGTCCACTGACGCCTTCAAAAATCCACATACTTGGTTGTCGGTTTATCCAGAACAAGATCAACCGAACAGGCGATCGTTCCACGATGTAGCCAACCATATGCGTCCACTCCCAGCGTCTGGCCGCTGAATTTCTTCAAATTGCATGGTTTTTGGATGGATTTGAGAAGACCATGAAGACCTGTATGTTCAATCAATGACCCAGATATCACCCACAATACTGCACAAGTCAGACGTACCTTTGATACCCATCGTGGAAACCTTTTCGGGAACAATAAAGTATTCGCCTTGTTTACCCGCAGAGCAGGAACGGGCGTCAACTGTGACAGTCCAGGGCGAATGATTGACCGTGGGACAACCCCGAGAAATTCCACAGAACGAAGGTTCCTAAATAAGAGTCCAGGGCCGACCAAATACCTAGCAAATTACCGTAATGATGACCAGGACAACGACGTTGGAATGTCGGACGCTGTCCCTCCCCTCCGACGCGCAAAAGACGCGAAACAATAGGGACGAAGCAGTGATTGGCTATCCACAGGCGGTATAGTCATGCACCTCCACCGCCCACGTATTCTGCCCGGAGAAAAAAAAAGGAACGAAAAAAAAAAGTCTGGACTTCGGAGGAAATGCAGGATTCCATCCCCGCACTTTGATCTGAAGAAGCAGAAGGGAGAACAGAACGTGCAACCATGCCAAAGACATTTGCCAAGGTGCACAAGCACATTTCCAAAAAACGAGGCGCAGTTGACGCCTTGCACGAATTTAGCAGAGATGCCAGGAGATTGCGCCGTGCGAATCACAGAGATGACCGAGTTGCTAAAGCATCTGTAACCACATCGAGGGGAAGACAATCATACAGTAAGCTAATATCGTGTCTCTGCCATTGTATGATGGCTTGCTGTTCCGAGAAACAGATAATTGACCCGTTTGCAGTCGATCGCATTGCCTATTTCCAGGAAACTATCCCAGATGATGCGCAGCCATTCTCCGACGAAGAGATAATGCAAACAATAACCAAGTATGCGCTTCGTCAATCATTCCAAATATTTGTCTGTCGAACACTTGCTAATGCATGTGCCTCCGATAGCTACATCAACCGCAGTAACCCTGAGATTGAACAACTAAAAAGCGAACGCCGAAAAGGACGCCCTCCCAGCAAACGAGAGGAAGTTTTGCTACAAAGAATGGATGCTGAAAGTAAAGAATATAAAACTGGATTCTGGATGCCCGACTTCAGTCAACCCGAGGTGCTACGGGCTTTGGCTATTTGGAATGGAGATTGGTCTGGTCTAAGTATGATGAAGTTCATTCGATTCACGAAAGAAAGCGGGAAACAAGCATCCAGCTTTCCTCCCAAGGGACTCTCATGAGCATGATATATTGATTTCTCTTCTTATTTGGACGGACCATTTTGCACCTACATACTGTGTTTACTTTACGTGAGTTCGGGCGATGACGGCGTATATGACTGCATTATGAATTTTCCCAACTTCATTATTATACATATCATTATGAATAAATCATAAGAGAGAAGAAATATCCATAAAATTTCTAGATTCACTATTCTTCTTTGGCTCTCTTTTGCCTTCTACCGTAGCGGCGCTGGAGTTTTTCTGGAGCTCTAAAGGTCTTGGCGTAGTCGATCTTCTTCGGAACGTTAACATCATCAGCTCGCCTCTTCCCATTCTCAACTTGCCATCCATCAACACCTCAGCACCCCCAACATCTCTTCTTCAAATTTCCATCCCCTTACCACCAATCTTTCCACAATGTTGTCCTTGCGTACTCTTGCCCGCTCTGTGCCTCGCACTGTCTCGCGGTCCTTCGCTACCTCTTCCCGGTCCGCAGTTTTGCGACCCGTGTCAACAGTCCCAAGACCCAGTCTCCTGCAGTCGTCGCTGAAGCCGGCCACAAGATCGCCTTACGCTGCCTTTTCCACCTCGAGTGTCTTCAGACAATCCGCCGAGGGTAAGTGAAATTTCGTTTTCTTGGATACAGTCAATCCCGGGGCACGGTTTTTTCTTCCGCCCAGTTTCCGTCATTCATCAAAACAGCCTAATGAGCATGGCTAACAAATTTTTGCTGCCCTGTTTTAGGTGATGTCGAGCTGGTTGCCAAGCTTGAGGATGAGGTTAAGCATGAAAAGGCTTCTGGTCTGGAAGATTTGGAATCCTCTGTCCAGAACATCCAGTATGTTCTTCAGAACAACTCCTGGGAGGTAAGTGCAGAGTCTAGATATGACGGCAAGCTCGGATTGTACTAATATCACACAGGTCAAGGATGTTCCCGGTGAGCAAGAAATTGTGTTGACGAAGAAGTTTGGCAATGAAGAGTAAGTGCTGAAAATTTCCCGATATTTATTAGTACGCTTGATTATAGGCTCTAACGTTTGTGACCATCATAGGATTCGTCTCACTTTCACTGTCGCCGACCTCCAGAACTTGAGCGAGCAGGAAGACTTCGACGATGGCGCTCTCGCTGACGAGATGGACTTCGAGGGCCACCAGCCCACTAACCAGGGCCGCGCTGGAGGCGTTTCCCAGCAACACCCCGAAGACCGTGTCGCTCCCGCCGACCGTGAGTTGGATGAGTTGGACCGCGACGTCGAACCTAGCTTCCCTGCACGTGTCAACGTCACCGTTGAGAAGCCCGGCAACGGTGCTCTCCTGATCCAAACCGTCGCTCAGGATGGCCTCTTCCAGGTTGAGGAAGTTTCTTACTTCTCTAAGCCCGACCTGGCCCACGCCCAGACCGCTGAGAAGGACTGGGCTAGACAGAGCCTCTACGCTGGTCCTCCCTTCGAGAACTTGGACGAGGACCTCCAAAGCTACCTCGAGCGTTACCTCGAGGAGAGAGGCGTTAACGCAGAGCTTGCCAACATGATCCCCGACTACATCCAGGTCAAGGAGCAGAAGGAATACGTTCGCTGGCTCGAGAGTAAGTGACATCCATCTGATAATTGTAAAACCACACAACTAATGGAATGATTGCAGGCGTCAAGAACTTCATCTCCGCTTAAATGTCTTTTTCGGAAAGTGACATTTCATGAAGCCTACTCTATGAGTCGAGATGTGTACGACAAAATCCCAGCTCTTCACCCTTTTCCTCTAATATTATCTGTTTTAAAATATTCTCGTGTTTTCATGTTACATTAGCTCATTGGGATGGTAGAAGTAGCTTCTACTAGGAGGTGATGCCGACTGGCATGACATGTATCAATATAGAAACGAATCCATTTATTTATGTAATTTATCAATGTTGAGTTGACATATTTTTACTGATTGCCCATGCGTAAACATCTTACTTTTGCCTCAATTGACCCTGTCACATGAGAATAGTAATTGTGCACCAGGGGACTGGAAACATAAACCTGAATATGGATGGCCCATGACCCTTGTGTAGGTGCATGCTTTAGAATATAGATCGTTAAAAACGTGAGAATCTGGTTACAGACAGGTGTTGTTGCTACCTGAGGTTTCCAATGGGATTGATTAAGAAATATACGCAGCTTGCATTTATGCATAGATCCAGAACCTCCAAACGCCTTGGTTGTGATAAGAAAAAAAAAAAAAAGACTTGTCCAAAACCCGCTTCAAAATGAAAATAAAATTTGCAGAACCATCCAATCGTTTAGGAGAGAGACCCTTAGAATTCCATGCTCTCGGATTTGACATCCGCAGCATCGTCATTTCGCTCACGCTTACCATTGCGTTCCTCCTTGAGCAAGCCAGCAATAAATGAACGGAAGTAGTCGATGTACGGCTTCAGACTCGTCTTCTCATAGTCCTGTAGCTTGCGACCACCTCGGGCATCGGAATCATTGGGCACGCTTCCTTCCCCATCGACGGCGTCAGTGCCAGCACTACCCGCCGGATGTTCCGCATCCCAAGCGTCAATCTCTGCTAACAATGTCATGACCGTGGGCACAGAGAGGGGATCGAATTGTTCAGCCTTCCGTGCATCTATAGGAACACAGACACGACCTGTGCCGGGATGCACAACGAAAGGACTTTTGAGCAAATGTATCATCTTTTTGCTGACTTCGGAATCGAGACGAGGGTATGTATACTCGAGGACGATATCTTGCTTCGCATCACGCAGAGAGGAAGTATTGAGGCTGCTGCTTTTTCCCGTTTTGGCAAGCGCATCAATGTCAGCCCATTTGCTTGTACTTGAACGGTCGGGTGATGAATCCCATTTCCGCCGCAACGCATCGTTCAGTGACTTGTCGGGGAGTAATGCGAGAAGACGTTGCGCTTGCTCTGAGCTAACAAAGGTGTCTTGGTCAGCTAGTGTCGTTTGGGCAAAGTGAGGCTTCAAGATCTCCAAACTACGGGCCAAATGCGGGTGCAGAGGCCGCTTCAAATTCACGCGCTTGCCACTTTGGGACCCTCCTCGTATCACATCCAGGTAGCCGGCAATCGCCCTTCTCCGGTCATCTGGAAGGTTTCGAGCACGTGGGTCACACACCCAAGCGTGAGCACCACGTCGACCCGAATAAACCCACATGATGTGTTCAAAGCCGAAATCCTCTCGCAGAGCAGTATCAACAACCTTCATCGCCATTGTAACAAAAGTCCAGCATTTTGCGCATATGTTGGCCTTTTCGCAGCATGAACGGATATCGTCATAATCGGTCAAATCAATATCAAATACTAGTTCTTTGGATATGGGTTTCATCTGGCCACCTCGCAGGGTTTTGCGATCCCGGGGGTTGGTGCTGTAAACAGGACCAATTTCAAAACGGGAAGGGTTCATTTTCAGTATGTCTTTACGGAATCTGCCAGAAAACGAGTCAGTAATTGACTTCCGCTTGTTTACTAGGTTTCAAAGACCTACAAATCTGCGGTTGTGTATGATTGATATCTCAGGTAGGCATCGTTCTGCAGCGTGAGGGCGAATTCACGATTGCCAAAGTCGGGAGAAGGTATTATCCCATGATTCAACCACTGGAATAGATACCGAAATGGAAATAGACGTTGGTAGAATGCAAGCATTGTGTCCATATCGACGTGGGACGGTGGGGGAACAGAGCTGAACAAACTCGGATTAGCAAACCAATCAAGAATTCAACGACATTCGTGACTTACTCGCCAATTTCTGGCGCCGATGATGGTTCTGCTTTAGTATCTGGTGCACTGGAAGCTGGGTATTCATCATCGTCATCATTGAATAGATCCTCCAACTTCACTCCAGAAGTCTCGTTCTCCGCAGCTGGTGCTGCAGAGTCTGTTGGGGGAGCATCAGGCATAACTTCGTCATCGTTTCTTTGACTGGGCGAATTTCCTGGGGACACAGAATGAGGCATTTTGATGGCTTTGGGCAAAGTGTTATGGTTGATGGCCGTACTCGACTATCGTTGCGCTCCTCCCAAAGCCATTAACGCGACCCTCGAGACGCGTGACACAACGCGTCTCTTTTTAGCCCTAGGCCCTAAGCCCTACTCTTTACTTTAGATCTTGGCATAAATCTGATATAGAATCACGTGATAACCAGGGCATCAACTCTAAACCGCAAACGTCGACCTCGCCCTGACCTCTCAATCTGCAGTTGCATCCTCATCTAGGTTCCATCAGGGACGAACCGCTCTCATGCAGTCGTTTTCAGTTGAGGGGATTTGTTCCTGCCTTCAACCAGGTCCATTGCATGACGCCTACATTTCCCCGACACCCTGGTGTTATCTTTCCTAGGGCAGCAGACTGACTCCTGGAACGGGCTTTTCTTGTCTCTCGAGCTCGGATACAAACGGATTTGCGATTGAAAATCTGCTTGGTGTTCCCAACAGAGATAATACGACGTATCACGATTTCGTGATGGCTGTGGGCCATCATCATAGACTTCATGGCAGGCTTTTCAAGCACATTATTGTCACCTTCGAAATAGCAGTATATTTGATTGCGACGGTTTGGGCGTATATGGCCTTCTTTCTCTGCTGAGCCCTTCAATTTCCACATTGCTATACGGCTTCTCTGGGACTAACCCCACATTCCAGTCGATCTTGGGTAGCTTCAAGTTGTTTTAGAACATATGGCTAAATCCTGGAGGCATTAGTCGCCATCAGCTCCACATTTGGAAGTCAATTCCTCTTGCACGCAACCTATGCGAGATCATACCCTACGCTATTTGCTGATCGAGCATAATTCTTGCGGCTTTTTCTTTCTGCAGCCATGTGCTACCCGTATCTAATCTAATCCTTTTTCGAATTCTGCCTCTTCATGAAGAAACCGATAGGCAAATTTACTTGATCAAATGCTAGGCTACAATCATGACGCCATTTCAAACGCTTTGGGTGTTGATTAGCATCACTCTTCCCGTCTTGCCCCATAATTTTTCGTTGCATAGTGGGCCTTGGGCCGGAATGAAACTATTCAATGTCACACTCGCATCTTCTCTCAACAAGATTTTTTTCCCCTCACGACTTGCTTACTATCACCATCAATTCGTCCCTTTAGCATCCATGGTTCCTTGGGTCTCTTCTGCTGCATTCAGCCATACAACATGGTTTTCGCACAGATTGATTTTGGTTGACATCGGTTCCTCACCCAGAGTCAAGCTGCTGTGCACTTGGCCTCGGTGGATACTACATTGCAGTTATTGCGAAGGGGAAAGAAGAAGAAAATAGGACGAAAACGGCAATTTGCCCCATCTCGAAATGCATATAAACCCAGCTTTCGTACCTGCTTCTCTGATTCTTCATTCCTTTCTCATCACGCAAATTCTCCAGTCAAGAGAGGTTCCTCGCTACCACTACATTCGTTATCTCCGATATACCTTCGGTTCATATCCGTGTTTGCGCGCCTCTCGTCTCTGATCATCATCCAATCTTGCAACATGGTCAAGGGAACAGTTGCTCTTCTGGCTTTGGCTGGTCCAGCCTTCGCTGGAGTTATCCAGGGCCGTGGTGAAGAGGGCCAAGACTTCGTGAAGCCTCTCTCTGTCTTGGATCCTACCACCGAGAAGTGGGAGAAGCCAACTACCACTGCAACCGAGGCTTGGGAGCCTACCACTACCGACAAGTGGGAGAAGCCTACCACCACCGCAACTGAGCCGTGGGAGCCTACCACTACCGACAAGTGGGAAAAGCCGACCACCACCGAGAAGTGGGAGAAGCCAACCACCACCGAGAAGTGGGAGAAGCCAACCACCACCGAGAAGTGGGAGAAGCCGACCACCAC